TCATAAGAGCCGCATAATCAAATATGTAGAGAAAAAAAAACGCGAACACGCAAACACACTTTAAAAATGCAGCGTAACGGCGCATTCAAAATTAGTCGTTAGTTTCTTAGAGAGCAGCAGCTTCGTAGGGCGACATTGTTACCCGTTGCAGGTTATAAAAAGTGCAGTACAACTGTTATCTCGGGGTCTTTAACGTGCATCACACAGTATATGTGATACACGATCGCACGAGGATGCAAATGGTCGACTGAACCCAGGGTCCTTGCTAAAGCCCCTTGATAAAGGCGTTTTTTTACAAGTTCCGCCGAGCATTAATGTGGAAACGTGCAAGACACGTGCCACGAGCGGGTGCTCCGCCACCAATGGCTTTCAAGGGCCAGTCATTTTAGTGCTGCGCCGCCATTTGCCTCCAAGGGCCGCTCGTGATACGTTCCTCGTGCACTGGAACCTTCGAGGTTATTTGAAAAACCAACGCAAACACATCGAGGGGCTTTAGTTCCTACAGGCTATGCAGCGTGAACTCCGGGCTTTGAACGGAGCTCGCGCTCGAGCCTTTCTCCACGTGCTCTGGTCTGTGGTGCATGCCACAACACATTCGGCCAACGATCCCTCACCGCACTTGGTTTAGCTTGTGAGCTAAACCAAATGACCTACGCTTAGAGTATCGGCGCTTTTTCCCCCGATATTGTTGTGGGCGCCGCCATCTTGATGGGTAGTAACACATCAAACGCAACTGCCGATCGTCATAATTCAAAACTGCGACTTCCCGAGAATTAGTTTCGGTGTCAGGAAGCTCACGTAATATTGCTTTGCTTTGTCGCGAACTGTTAAAACATTTGTGGAGGACGGAAAAACGTTTCCGGTGATTTCAAATAAAGCTTCAGATAACTGACAACCATCATTTTAAGCACCAAGATGTGTAAGAAACCTAGCTTATTAAGTGGCTCTAGTTTAGCCCCACCGCATAGGCACAGAAAGAGAACGAACAGCTTGACCTCGCGCTCTTGGCGCCGCTTCAGTGGTTACATCAGCCCGAAGCGTTGGCTGTGCTCCGTACTAAGGTAGAGCAAAGCAAATACACAGATCTTAGGATTTCACAAGCCAATCCAACAAGACTCACTTAACACGCCCAATAAAAAAGAAATTGCCGGTTTATTTTGACTAACTGGAGACCTTTTGACGTGCAGTCGAATTCTCAGATTGGCCTTTGTCGGATTTCGGGCATCCCGGCCGATATTTGAACCCGACAAATATGGATTCATGAGCCGGCGCGTTGGCTCAGAGATACTGAGACGATTTAATGTTTTGTGTTCAGTTTTAATATTATTGCCACTTGAAAGTCATCGAGGTGGGTTTTAAACAAAATATAGTCAAACCATTCCGACAAGCATAGTTTGATTGCGGAAATGATTTTTGCAAGTGATAAAAACATTAAAATGTTTTCGCATACGTGGCGGAATCCCAAATGGCGGAATCCCCTTCATGGCGCTCATTTCATTGGGATCGCGTCAGCCATGTGTACCGACGCACAGTAAAACACGCGCAAAAGCAGCTGTAGTGCGCCAGGAGCCTCGCGATTGTTGTTCTGACATCTCTCGATCGCTTACTGCGGGCATCCAGGCATATGACACCCTGATATCTGGCGTTTGTTCCGTATTTCACGTGGCGTTCCAAGCGGCACACGACGGACAATGCACATCAAGCTGTTCTTGAAAACGTGTCGCCATCTGTATTTTATATTAAGCAACTACAATTTGTCATAACTGAATGGGAAAAGTTTGAAGTCTTATAACATTCTTAACGTGTAATATATTAATATGGAAGTTCTGGAAAATGTAATATCGAAGCATGCTTCATAATTTAATGTCTCGTTATTTTTATTAGTTTACGTGATTCCGTTTTTATAGCGCCATAAAATAATACCATTTTAAACTTTATTTTTTTATTTTAGAATATACAATATTTGTACACTTTGTTGCTCACTTTTTTAATTTATTACATCCAACCAAACGCTCACGTAAAATATCGTGGACGATAAGACGTTATAACTCGAGAAATATTTTTTTCCATATTAGAGACTGTGGTCTATTAAAAGGTGAATAAGTAACTAACTGAAAATAATCGTAATATCGAGACATTAAAGTATTTTTGAAAAACAGCTCTTTAATTTGACATTAATTTTATAATTGTAAGATATATAAAAAGAAAGTTATAAGCCGTCAAAAAAGCACCAAAGCGTCATGCACGGTGGGGTTGCACCTTAAGTTTGAGGCGCACTGTACATCTGATCTGGCAAATACCGCAGAAAACATCGTTCTAGCGCAGTGGTTCTCAAATGACGGTCCGCGGACCTTTTGGGGTCCGCGAAGGCGTTCTAGGGGTCCGTGAAGCCCAGCCTCACCAGTCAAGCCTGGCAATAATAGTTGTCTTTTTTTCAGATTGAGAAGAAACGTTCCAATTTTCGGGTGGGTTTTCTTGTGTATATGTAAATAAGAGAAGTCTTTTTCACACTAGCCCTTAGTTATATCCATTTAATAAATCGCTATCATAGTTAACCTATACATTTCCTTTCCCCACACCACGAACGGGGTCCTCCATTATCTCCACCGACCCACAAGGGGTACGCGAAACATCAAGGGTTGAGAACCACTGTTCTAGCGAAATGAAGTTCCAGAATCACTTCATAGATTGCGCCAGCGTGCCAGCATGTTCTCTCCTCCTAAGAAATTTTAAGAGGTTTGAAGGCGCAGTCCGACATTTCTGGTGGCGCATAGGGCACAATGTCCGCAGCACAATAGCGTGGAGCAGGGGGCAGCGCTTTAATCAGAACAACACCGCAATTCTATTTCGCTTTCGCTTACGACAATTGTACAAGCGTGAAAGCCGGTAGAAGTCCTTTAGGAAGCAATTAAAACCGCTCCTGGCTTTGCCTATATATATATATAGATGACGCCGAACACTGGTGGAAGGGGTATCTTTTTTCAATAAATAATGCAAACCGAATTAACAGCATCAAATCAGATGTGCAAAAAAGACGCGTCTGGCTTCCAGAATTTTATTTAGGTCACAAGATCTACGATTAAAATCATGCTTCCTGTTCCTGCACTTGGAACAGTCGAGAGATGGCACTGATGGTGCAGCCTGAAAATGCAACAATCAATGACCACCTTTAGCTAAAAAAAAGTGAAAGCCGTTTACAACTCCCTGTAACACCGAATTAGAGCGCAGCTCTTGAGGAGGAGGAGGGAAGGGTACTGAGGGTCACGTGTCCTTGGGGGTCACGTACCCCCCGAGGTCACGTGACCTTGGTGGGGTTACGTGACCTCGGGGAAGAAGGCATCCACGTGGGGGGTCGCGTGACCCCTTACGTGACCTCGGGCAGGGGGGTCACGTGATCTCGGGGGGGGGGGGGGTCACGTGACCTGGGGGTTCACGTGACTCCCCAAGTCACGTGACCCCCCAGAAAAATTTTTCCGCTAGACTTAGCGGGGAAATTTTTTCGCTAGGCTTGGCGGGGAAATTTTTCCGCTAACCTTAGCGGGGAAATTTTTCCGCTAGATTTAGCTGGGAAATTTTTCCGCTAGGTTTAGCGGGTTATTTCTTCACTAGATTTAACGGGGAAATTTTTCCGCTAGATTCAGCGAGGAAATTTTTCCGCTAAATTTAGTGGGGAAATTTTTCCGCTAAATTTAGCGGAGAAAATTTTCCGCTAGATTTACCGGGAAAATTTTTCCGCTTGCCCGTTTCCAGCTTGAGCGGCGACGCCGCTCAAGCTGGAAACGGGCGCCTAAGAGCCTCGCTCTAAAAGGGGTTCGGCCTTGTCAACTAAATGCATCCGCCTTTTTAATGGGGCCTTTACAAATTCGGAACGATCAGTTTTAATGTTTGCTTCAGCGAGTGGAGTTAAAGTGATATCAGCCGAACAAGCTAGAACACAAATGAAGGTGCGACCGACCCTTACTGAAAATTGTAGCCTGCATTGATTAAACCTCACATATTGTTTTTTTCGTTGTATAAGCACGAGTATATTGCACTTAAAGTCAACAAAATCCTGCAAATTTGACGGGTGAGCTTACGTTTTATCGTTATACACTTTCGCACAGGGGGAGAGTCAAGCCTGCAAACGTATCTTACTCTTTAAAAAGTTGAGTGGATTATTAAAGTTTTGGAACACGTGTAACAAAACCCTTTGATTTTATTCGTGATTTTAGCAGTTATAAGGAGAATATACAGGTTGCTTGACGCGTGTATTTGACTTCACTGAGCTTAGAAATATAAATTACGGGGATTGTTTTAAAACAATTGATACATTTTTAATGTATGTCGGTAATACGAGTTCATTCGTGATTCAACGTGAATAAAGCACTCCGAAGAAACAGCGAGCTATGTTAACCTAACCCCTCACTGAGAGTTGCCAACATATTGGTTTGCCTAGTCCGGTGTTAGAAGACTACGTTCAGTTAAGCGAAGCGACCGCACCTCCCGATCTGTTAACTCAACTGCGGCCGCAACATAAATGCCGTGAAATTCACCTTTCCGTTGCATTGCGATTCTTACTGATACATATTGTTATACGGTAGAAACCAGTTATTTTATGATAGCTTATTGTTTCTTTGGCAACTACGGGTTGAATGGAATTTTATTTTCGGAACATCTGAATTCGAGTTGACGTGAAACCAATGCTATCGCCACTCTCTCCATAGTTTTTTTCCACGAAGAGAATTACAACTATATATAGTCGCTTACAGGTTAAGAGAAGTTGGCGAGGGAAAGGAAGGCTGAAGAGGGGGAAACAGAAGGAATGCTGGAGAGTAGATTAGCAAACCTTCTCCCCTCTCCAGCGCTCCGTCTACTTCCTCCTCCCCAGCCTTCTTTTCCCTCGCCAACGTTTCTTAACCTGCACCAGGCTATAGTAAGTACACCCGGAGTTTCTATCAAATCTGAGGCATCGCTTGGTGGCCATATTGTGGTTAGAAACGACGAGCTTGTGCTGTGCTTACCGCTAGGCCGTAAGGTGCGTGGCACTGGGACAGGTCCTGCGCCTTGCCCTCTCCCGTGTACTCCACGAGGAAGCTCAGGCGTCCAGGGGCCGTGGATCCGGAGCGCATGTGCACCAGGAGGGACCCGAAGGACGTTCCGTCCATGTCCTCTCTGCTCGGGAGCCCCGCCAGGTCCAGGAATGTCGGGGCCAGGTCGATGTTCAGTACTATGGACTAATGAGATGAGATCTGTAGAGCCGAATGTCCTTCGAATATACTCGCTCACGCTCTGGGTTGCAAATTGTCAAAAGTATAACCAGCGTACTAGTCTGCAACTTGAGTAGTTCTTAGAGTGCGAAATATTGATTTAGTGGTTTCTTAGTAGCCGCCGCAGTCAAATATGGCCAATAGTGAGAGTCATGCGAAAACGGTTGCTGTGACAATGCTCTGACAGATCGCCCTGTTTTTAAAATGTGTACACCACCTGAAGGTGGCGCCTTTGACTTTGGTTGAGCTACTGCTCTAAATAATAACGTCAAACTTGCGTACAAACTGAATGCAAAGAGAGCTTTTTCTCCGGATCTGCAAAACGAATGGCGAGTCCTTCTTCGGATCTGCAAAAAGACTGGCAAGTTCTTCTGACCGGCACAAAAGTGGTTGAGCTTTTCTTCGGTGAGCAGCTTTTCTCCTTGAGCTTTTCTCCGCGAAGCATAGCGTTAGATAAGCTGATATTGAAAAAGGAGTGACGTGTCAAAAGGAGTGACGTGTCTTAGAGGCGAGAGCTTTGGTAAAGTTTCGAAGTGAACTTCCATCTAGGTTATACTTTTTGTGCGCATTTACAAGAAATACTCAGCTTGGACGGGCAGTTGCCTGCCTTGTTTTCTGTTCCGTACGATAAGATACAGTATCAAATACACAATATACAATACGCAACTGCAATCTGGAACCCTCATCAGGTGTATCTCACCAACGCACTGGAAGCAGTCCAAATCTTTATTAATTTTTATATTCGTAAAATTTTAGTATATCCCACCTGAAGGCTGAATCTGAGTTAGTATTGCTTGTCTTCCCCGCATCGTCACCCACTCCTTATTCTTCCTTCGGTAGCTCCCCTTACATTTTACCCCCCCCTCGTATCTCAGCGCACCGGTCATTCACCTACAAGACGCCCGCCCACGCACTCGCTCCAGTTCTTTTGCCGCCTCATTTTGTGATACATCCGTCATGTGTCAACTGATGGTGTTTCGGAAGACCGCTTGAGCTCTGTGACTTGAAAGATAAGAAGGGCACACAGATAGGCAGACTACCTTCATCGGAAAAGAGTGATCTCGCATACAATAAAAGAAAGTGCGGATAATATTGGTATGGGACAAGCCAAGAAATCTTTCTTGGGTTGCCAAAGGCATGGTAGCGCTTTTTTGGACGAGGACAAAAGAAAGAAAGACAAGACAGACACGAGCGCTGCCATGCTGTGGCAACCCAAGACCAATACCAACTAGCCCAACATACAGCCAAGAAATCTGGCGTGGTCTAGTGGCTAGGGCACCTGGCTTTTAACCAGAAGGCCTGGGTTTGTTTCGAACGTCGGAATCTATAGAAACTTTTAGCAAACCGTCACCGTGTCCCGTGTACCGCATTAATGGAGCCTTTAAAACATGCCTTTAAGCGCGCGCCCCGATGATACCGCAACCGAGGGTCGCGCGTCTCAAGGCATGCATCAAAGGCTCCGGCGGTGCGCAACACGCTAACGGTTTGATAGACGTTCCTATCGTTTTGAACCTCGAAAGGCGTGAAAATGTCGGTCGGATGTCTTTAGGAATTTCATCCTCGCTGCAACACCCTCTTTTTTTATGTCTTCTTATCTTTAGTCAGAGGGGGCTGAAGTTCTTTATTTGCTACAAAATAATATCCTTGCCGTATTTTGTTTGATTGGTTTTGAGGAAAACAACGAAAACAGTTAGGAATCATTATTTCAATTTTGCACGTCGCTCTTTTTTTTTATATAGCGCTGCAATAATAGACAGTTTTAGTATAGCGTTGCTGGATCTTACGTACGCAATACGCAATAGTATAGCGTACGCTAAAAATGACCTGCTCGGACCGAATTTAGTTGTGCGTTACGTTTTCGAGTGAACACCGCGCATGATCTTGGTTAAATTTGCTAGAGCCGAAGAATTCCGCGTGCTTATAGCGCAACCATGCTCCTGGAAAAAAAAAATATTGAAAAAGAAAAAGTGTCATATCATTTTATTTCAGGTTAAACCAAGCCACAGCTGCCTCGTCAAGCTCGCTTTTCTGCGGGGTACAGAGGCTACGAGTACGAGTGCGTAGCCAAATTCGATCACGGAGCCTCCGTCAGTCGTCCCGTGGAAACGGCACCTTTAATCAATGCTATCGCGGAATGAAATTCATGACCCTGATGTCCAGTGCATAGCGAGAACTTCGGCGATTTCGTTTAGAGTCGTTCGTCCGTCGGCGTTGAGCTGTGGGAATAGGCTTAGCCTTGGAGCAGATCGCAGCGTCGACGCACACTGCGAGCGGCGAACATTTCTACAGTGCACTCTTTCAGCTGCAGGGCGATCTGATTCGACCGCGGTAGGTCCCAGAAAGAATCGCCGAGCTCAACACCACGCGATTTCACGTAACACAGAACTTCGAAAACACCACGTCGCCCTTGCTGCGCCAGTCGAGGCAACCGCCATCTTGAAACTGGCGTTCTCGTTGGGTCCGAGATCTCTCGAGAGCGTCCCGGAAGGCCCGCTAGCCAGCAACGCAAAATCCCCAGCGTTGCGTGCGTACGAAATACGCTAGCCCTTCTATTGCGTTCTGCGCATGCGCACTCACGACCCGCAATCTCCTTGCGTACGCAAAGCTATAGCGTACGGTCCACTAAAACTGTCTATTGATACACAGTTTTTTTTTTACTTTATAGATTTGTTTAAAATAAGCCGTTAAAGATATAGTTATGCGGCTTGTGGAGGTGATTTATATGCCAGGGGCACATTATGGTGGGTGGCTAATCTTTGCGATAATTAGGTTAATTAGTTAAAAATCGTTATTGAAATTTTTAATTAGTGAAAATAGACATATGGGTCTATTTAGAAATTTACTGAGGTCATCGAAAACCTCTTAATCAACTTTTTCTAGAGCGACATCAAGCTCGTGGGAAACTCGGGGGCGCGCCAAAGTTACAACTGGTGAGGTAGGCGCAGAGCTAGCAGTGGCGGAACGTGGATGATGAGATTATCATCGCGCTTTTGCAAATCATCTGGTTAAATGCTGATTTGAGTTAGTGGGAAGAATGCCGCTTATTTTAAGACAATCGGTGTACAAAATAAGCAACTAATACTTGAACTCCTCCCCTGTGCGAACACAGTTTCTAAGAGGTGATAAAAAATCGGCCTTTGCAATTTTGCAACGGAAGGTGATTGAGAGATCTTACTTTCGCTTAGGAACCTCGGAGGGTGCGATTCAAGTGCTTTGCTTAATCACTGCAAGCGATTTTTTTGCATTGGTTGCGCATTGCATTTAACAATGCCGCGATTTACTGAATGTAAAAAGAGAAATCATTACAGTGATTGCACAACAAGCATTTGAGAGGCTTCTGTTACCTGCGCATTTAAGGTTTGGGGCTTTCTTTGTTGAAGCGGTACTATTTTTATAAATGTGACGTTTTGAATGGTTGTTCGCTTTCCCTTCTAATATAATTTAGTTTAATGTATAGTATTCTTTTCAGTGGTGTCACTTGGATCAGCGGCACCCGAAACAATGGGCCGCCGCGACCCCCCCCCCCCCCCCCCCCCACCCCCCTCTCGTGGCCCGCCGCGATAACCCCTAAGCGCTGCAACCGGGGCTTCCCAATTGCAGTGATGCTACTGCTTCTTTGTATAGCTTCATATGGGTGGTTGTGAGCACCGCATGTGCACCTTAGGAATAAACGTGGTTATATTTTATGGAACCCATCTTCCCGAAAGAACATCCCGTGCCGTTCTCGAGTGACATAAATAAAAAAAAAAGTAACAATAACACTTACAGCCTGTCTTGATCGTCACTGACTAAACTGCTGCGCGTAACGTGCATGAAAATATTCGGCCGCTAACTTTGGCTGGAGATGTCTCGCCCTTCAAATTTAGCGGACGGCGAAAGCCTGACTTGTGTCGGTCTCTTTTGATCCGTTCGTTTTTCTACATAGCCAGGCTCATAACGTATTCTAGGTTAAAAAAAAAAATAAACGTTCTAGAAAAGAAGGTTACCATTCTGTTTCTTAGCAGTGTCAAGTACACCGACTTCACTTTGAAATAGTGAATGAGTCTGACACCTGGGATAATATTCCGGTTGAAAAATTCGCAGAGCGTCAATTGCGCCTGAAATATATTGAGGTATTGGCACATAAAGAATTTAACTGCAAAATTACATGAGCGAAAATCCACACCTGTTCTACCCTTCCTGCCGGAATTCCGGGGCCTCGCACCAGGAGTGGCACGTGGATGTCTGTCTCGTACGGCTGCCGCTTGTCTTTGGGCTGGGAGAACTGCCCTGGAAAAGAAGACCTGGGGCTCACGCGAAGATGGCTGTACGCAGTGATTTATACACCCTACCGCACCTCCAACACCCTCCTAACACACCCACAAACTGAGTTCAACCCCCCAACCTCGAAGTTTCTAAACAAGGTTTTGTAGCGCGTTTGGTGTTCAGGACGGAAGAGATGGTACGACCGCCTTTTTCTATTCTCGAGGCAGGACGCGCCTAGCGGTGAGCCCAGTGCTAGAGATATGCCATCCTTAAGGGCGATTCACACACTTGCGTTGAGTTCGACCGAGTGCGAGGGTTGCTAAGGCAAGAGCTGCGTCGGCTCCTACAAAACGGCGTAAAAACCAGTTTTGTAGGAGCCGACGCATCTGTTGCCGTAGCAACCCGTCGTTGCAAGTCGTTGCAGTTGCACTCTGTCAGACTCGGCGCAAGTGCGTGATTCGCCCTTTATAGAGGATGCAAGACGAACGACCTAGGCGCAAAAACATGCGGGTGCCTGCGCAGTTGCTTTTGATGTGTCGTCTGGTCGACGTCAGGTAGCACCATTCCTTGCAGGAGCGCTGGCTCACTATATGCGGGCTTTTAGTCTTTCCAACGCGACGGTGTCGTTCTTGCAGTTGACACGCAGGACAAACGTGTCGCTTCTTCTTTCCATCACTGGGAAGGGTGCGATGTAACGTGGGCGAATTAGCGAACAATTTTGATCACTCTTTTCTGCATGATTATTCGCCTGCATCACAGTTCTGAGTGTAAACAATGTTGGACAGGAAAATAAGCGTTGATTGTCGCTTAGTGTTTCCATAAAAGTAGACTGCAAGGGCTTGTTCCAGAACTTTTCGTGATAGTTTGAAAATATTGCTGCTTTTAGATCAGTTGCGTCGTTATCATATATATCGTGCAACGTATTTCGTAAACTAGATCTCACTATATTATGGTGAGGAGGTGCCCATCCCATGATTTTATGCACTGTAATTAATTCCCTAAGTTCAGAGCACAACTAGGGTTAAATTTCCAATACTGCGACGCAAAGTTGTACCAATCACGGGTATTTTAGGCGACCTACGAGTCTGATAACCTTACTATTTAGGTAAAGTATATGCGACTGAGGTAAACAAATACATGTTGAGCCGTACGAACACGACGTTTTGTTTGTTAATCTAGCTTTTCTTTTACTGTTGCGTCGAAATTAAATAACGCAATTTCTTATTTTTTGGTACCTGAAAATAAAAGTGGATTGTACAATTGACAAAATCTATATAGTTACTCGTTTCACGGTTGAAATGGTGCCTATGGGCAAAACAACGCAGAATACACATTCTCAATTTATTGGTTCAAACCCGTTTAAACCGGTTGAAACCGGTTTGAACCGTTATTTTTGTTTTCCGGAAGTGAACCGGAACCGCACCGGAAGCCGTGAACCCGAATCCAAACCGAACTGATAAACACTCCAGTATTCCTAGAGAAATATCAGCCGCTGTCTCGGGATCGGCCTCAGTTTGATCAGAATGTTTACTCCGCTCACCCAGGTGATATCCGTTGTCCGACGTGAAAAACACGTAGGTGCTTGCGAGCAGCTTCTTCGACGCCAGGATACCCACGACCTCTGAGACCAGATCGTCCACAGCGAGCAGCGTGCGCCACCTTTCAGGACAAATAAAACTGAAGCACCTAACGTTGGCGGCAGTACATTGCGCGCGTTTTTTTTTTAACTCGGGGAAAATGAACGAAATAAACTCACAAACAAAAGAATTGCTGACGCTTTCAACGTGGAACGGTTAGAGGGCCCTCCGATACGACTAAACACTGTATGCTGAAAGCCGTTCATTCGATTTTTCACGTGGCTAGGGTGCTTTTTTTTTTTTTTTTTTTTTTTTTTTTACTTTTACAGCTACAACACTGAATAATGAATTAGTGTTGCCGGAATTTTATTGCTTAATTTATTTTGCTACTTTTTAAGCGCCCTGAAGTTCAACCGAGCTGCAGGCGGTTGAACTTCAGGTGGTCGTAACATTTGAAATCAAATTGAGATTGTGAGGTTTGGGTTTATATCTAACGACGCCTCGATAATATTTCTGAAGCGCTCGAAGCGGGGGATGGGTGTTAAAATTCATGGTACCTTTGTGTTAGCGTTTAAATGTTACTCGTTTCCTGAAGCCCTGCTTTAGAAACTACACACTGAAGTGTGTACACAATGTCTTCTTACTTTATTGGCCTAGCAAGGGCACCTATTTTATACCCTGGACACATCGGTTAACATGTCCAAGAAGATGGACCTTGTCATCACATTCCTTGATTTATGCCTTGTCTTGGGGTTAATCATTATGTCTATGCTTCGGGGGCACATATATAAAGTGGTAGCCAACGGATCCCTGATATTCGGATGACGCGCAGTTGAAGGCTGACGCAGCAGCCATTGCCTAACAATAATTCACGCGCAGTACTAACTATGTTGCTTTAACCATTGGTTCTTGAGGAAGCTAATTTTTTTTTTTTTTTTTTAGAATCGAAGTTATGGGCGTCTGTATGAATAATGACGAGAAACAAAACTTAGGAAGCGCGAGTGCACCTTGAGCGTTTATCAAAGTTATGCACGCATGGGCCTCGCAGTCACTACACTAAACGAAAAAAACAACAAAAAACTGAGTTGCAAAATATAATTATGAACAGCTTAACACTTTTAACAACTACCTCAATATTGTTAAACGCAACACATGAGAATTGAGTTACATCGACACTAAAGGTGTGCCCTCGCCTCTGGTACAAGATATACCAGCGGCGAGCATAAATAAATATCCTGTCAGTGAACTTTGAAGTTTACACGCAGCCGACGCTACGAGGTTACGGAACCCAATAAAGCAGCGTCAAAAGCGCAAGTGAGTGGACTCTTTTTTTTTTTTTTTTTTGCCTATGATTGGTTCATGGATGATAGTGTTGGAGGAGGACAGGCGTTTGGGAAGATTTTTGGAAAGGGTCTCTTAGACCCGTTTCAGTAGTCAACGACACCTAGCTGTCCGCCATTGCTCGATCAGATCGCATACTCTGATCATGTATTGGACACGATGACTGCGTCAGCGTTCGTTGTGAACTCGAATCAAGTCACGCGCTTTGTTTTTCAAGCAACGACGACCGCTAATGTTACTTGGTGGAATTTAAAAAAAAGTCTAATACGAAGGAAAAAAAGGAAAAAAAAAAGGGGGGGGGGGAAGTGGGGGGACAAGCACATCGTCTCAAACACAACTAGGACGTTTTATTCAGCGCACTTCTTATATACTTTCGTTTCCACCCAAGCAACCTCTCACCAATTTGCACACGCTACACATCCACATAAAGTTCACTCTTTCGACAAGGTGGGACTGAAGGTAGACAGAGTTAATTTTACGTCGATATGTAGCTCGTGCAAACTAAAGTCACTGGATCTGGGAAAGTAGCGCCATTGCCTTCCCACTCGCTAGCCGGACACAAACAAATATCAACATACAGACGACAAACCTCTCAAAATCTCTGTCGGTTGCCATAGTGACTGCCATTTTGGACCTTTTTGAAGCTTGGAAGCTTAGGAAGTGTCGTCAAAACCAGTCGCACCAAGGTCGCTATGGAGCATCGTCGTACTCAAAGCGTTCCTCGGCCAATATGAGCGTCTTTGGCACTGTGAATGCAATGCACGTATCACGCATGCCCATTTCCTCAGATCTTTTACAATTACGTTGCTCTTCTTGCGTGTTTCTCGACAGTGAAATTATTTTTCAATGCCTCCAAGCACTGACGTTGCCTGTGATGGCGGTACGAAGATGTACGGCATCATCACGCGGCGTCAGTGCTTGGGGGCATTGAAAAATAATGTTACTGTCTTGAAACACGCAAACAGAGCAACATAACTATAAGAGATCTGTGAAGATAAGCATGAGTAATAATTGTATTGAAGGCACAGTGCCAAAGACACTCATATTGGCCGAGGAATGCTTTCAGTACGATGATGCTCCAGAGTGATCTTGGTGCGTCTGGTTTTAATGACCCTTTCGAAGCTTCCAAGCCTTGAAAGGGTCCAGAATGGCTATCACCATGGTAACCGACGGCCATGAGCCAATCACCTTGAGAGGTTTTGTCGTCTGTCTGTTGGTATTTGTTTGTGTGCGGCTCGCAGCTGGGAAAGCAGTGGCGCTACTTTCTCAGATCTAGTGATTTTAGTGCAAACTAGTGGAAGTTTGCTTGGGTGGAGACGAACGTATGAAACAAGTGTGGTGAACAAAAATTTCGTAGATGTGTTTGAAACGTTTTGTTCGTGCTCCTTTCTTTGCCTGAACCCCGGAGAAGAGCTCACCGGAGAAAAAATCACATGGAGAAATGCTCACCCCCTTTTGTGCGGGTCCGAACGAAAGCGCGTCAGCCTTTTGATAGACCCCAGGAAAAGGTCACCTCAACTTGAATCATTATATAAAGGAGTCGTTATCGTCTAATAACAATTGTGCTACATCGGTTTTAGGCGCCTCTCAGGCAGGGGGAACACCGTGTGACAGAGTTCGCGTGAACCGATTTCTTGCATTTTCCTTAGAGAAGGGGTTCATCAGCGTCACGTCAAACTTTTATCGCGTACGTTTGTGCCCTGAGCGAACAATTTCGACCACAACTAGTAGTTTTCATGGAAACTACTAGAATGTAAGGTAAAAAGGAAAAAAAAAAGCCCATAGTCTGTCTATGTTGACAGTGTCACGCAGTGTACACACTTAACACCAGGTCGCTCTGTTGTGGGCAAAATAAGAAAAAAGATTAATTTAAAAAATCTGAATTTTTAAATGTAAGTTTGATTTATTTTATTGAAATTTAAAAAATAAATATCACATTAGCTAGAAAATATTATTTATCACTATATAAATTTTAAACTTGGCAGTGTGTTCAGTTCTTCCGATCTTTGAAAACAATACCGAAAAATATATTACTGCAAATTTATTAAAAAAAAAAAAAAACGCCATACAGCTGTTTCTTGTTTTGTTTGTTTTTGAGCGTAATAGCTATATTGGCTTATCCCTTTCGCGGTCTGACTTTTTTGCAGTGCATTATGTGGTAGTATTTACCTGATTGTACCGGTCGTACCGGGTAACAAGCAACACTACGTGTAGAACGTTTTGAGATCCCCTGGGCGCTGTGTCCTCTTCTTCCTCTTTTGACCCCCTACTTGCCCCGTTTATTCGGACTTACAAAACAATATTATTACATCTCTTCTTCCCACGCAAAAGTCATTCGCCAAATCTTTTTGGTTTTCTTACGGTCCGTCCGGACCGGGTCTTTGGGATGTTTTCTTCTGTAGGGGGAACTCTGAATTCTGGTGTGCTTGCTTCAGGATGTGTTTGGTCGGTTGGTTTGGGTTTGGTTGGAACCAGGTGATGTGTATTCCGGCGGAGATATCCTGACCTTGTCCTGATAGTGTAGGATTGAGGTTCTGGTCTCTTGCCCGTAATTGTTCCAGTTGCTTTGCTGTCTCTTACCCATACCTCGCTGCCGATATCTAACTCCTGTTTTCGGCACACTCCGTGTCTCTTGTCGTAGTTTTCCGCTTGCTCATTTTTTTCTTCTCGATCCTTCTTCCGGAACTCCTCATGGTTGGGCAGTCTTGGCAAGAGTGTAGAAGCCAATACTGGCAGTGTGGTTCGCAACTGCCTTCCCATCAGAAGCTGTGCCGGACTGTATCCAAAAGGTCCTGGTGTTGTTCTGTAGACCAGTAATCCAAGCTCGGGATCTTCAGACTTCTTGATGATGTCTTTGGCTTTCTTGATCATTCTTTCAGCTTCCCCTTTACTTTGCGGATAACATGGACTGCTTGTAACGTGCTCGATCTTGTAATCCTTACAGAAACCTTCGAATGGCTTGGAGCTGAATTGTGGACTGTTGTCTGACCACAGAACCTCAGGTAGTCCGTGACGTGAAAATAGAGCCTTGAGATGTGATATGACTGCTTCTGAAGTGGTTTGTCTCAGCCTAGTTATTTCCACGTACCTCGAGTAGTAGTCTACGACGAGCAAATATTGGGCTCCTTTCAACTCGAACAAATCGGTCCCAACTCGTTGCCATGGTCTCTCTGGCAGCTCAAACGCGATCATCGGCTGTGCCTTTGGTACCCGCTCGTGTGCGCAGCTGAGACAGTTTGTGACAACATCAGCCATCTGAGAGCTTAGTCCTGGCCACCAAACTGACATCTTGGCTCGTTGCCGGCATCTCGAGATACCCTGATGGCCATCGTGCAGTCGGTGCAAGACTTGCTTCCTCATTTGACTTGGTATCACAAGGCGGTTGCCTCTCACGAGTAGGCTGTCTTGTACCGTGAGGTTGTGTCTTTCTTGGAAATATGGGGTGATCTCGATTGGCACTTGCTGCTTGCTAGTTGGCCACCTTTTTTCACAGTACTCCCTCATTTAGTACAGACGGGGTCGTCCTCTTGCATCTTCTTTACCTCGATCAGGTACTCTCGGGATGCAGGGACTGACTGAAGGACGACTTGCACAAAAGTTTTGGTTTCTTCTTCCATATTGTCTGGAGGTTCAACAGGTGACCTTGACAGGGCATCGGCCGTCCAGAGTTTTTTTCCAGGCACGTGTGAGATTGTGTAGCAGAATCTCATCAGCCGCAATTTGAATCGTTGAACTCTGGCTGGAATCGCATCCAGTTCTTTGGACCCAAGAAGAGGTACGAGTGGACGATGATCTAATTGGATGTGAAACTGCGTTCCTAGCAGGAACTTCTCGAATCGTTCACATGCCCATGTCACGGCGTACGCTTCTTTCTCAATCTGTGCGTATTTTGTGTCTGTGGTACTCAGTCCATTCGAAGCGAAGGCTACTGGTCGAATGTTTCCGTTCTTGTCCTTTTGTAGTAGCACTGCCCCCAAACCGTAAGACGAAGCATCTGATGAAACAATAATCTCTTGCTGCGGATCATACAGTGTTAGGGCTGTTGCCTCCAGGATGTCCTTCTTCACTGCATTGAATGCTGTTTTCTGTGCAGTGTCCCACGTCCACTCGCTTGCCTTCTTGAGAAGGTCACGCAGAGGCTTCAATTTTTCGGAAAGATGGGGGATGAAGCGTCCTACTTGGTTTGCCATACCGATGAATTGTCTCACCTCGGTCACTGTCGTTGGCGCTGGCATATTGGAGATGGCTGTGACTCTTTGTGGGTCTGGCTTGATCCCTTCCTGGCTGACGATGTGTCCCAAGAACTTTATGGACTTTTGCTTGATCTCGCATTTGTCGTTGAGTCGGACAGCTGCTGCTTTCAACCTCTTAAGGACTTTCTCTAGCCTCTCATCATGCTCTTTCTCGTTGGCACTAGTGATTAGGATGTCGTCCATATGGCATAGGACTCCTGGGATTCCTTCCAGGATCTCGTTCATCCTTCGTTGAAAATACTCTGGGGCGGAAGAAATTCCAAACGGCAATCGTTGAAAACAAAATCTGCCAAAAGGTGTGATAAAGGTAGTCATAGTTTGTGACTCTTCTGCCAGCCGAATTTGCCAAAATCCGGACTTGGCGTCTAGTTTTGTGTATAGTGATGTGCGTGACAACCGTCCCAGTGTTTCTTCGACAGAAGGCAAAACTAGCTTTTCGCGTTCTATGTTCTTGTTGAGGTGCGTCAAATCCACGCAGATCCGTACTTCTCCGTTGGGCTTGGGCACAACAACCATTGCAGAACACCATGGTGTAGGCTCTTCAACTTTCCTTATGATTCGATCTTTCTGCATGCTTGCCAGCTGCTTTTGTACTTTCGTCATCAGTGCCAGGGGTACACGCCGTGATGTGTGGACGGAGACTGGCGTGGCGTCTTTGGAGAGTTTGATTTTGTACTCTCCTGCCATTTCTACGAGACCTTGGAACAACTCAGGGTATTGTTCATGGTACCTCTTGGCTGTTTGGGCCGAGACTGTGTACAGAAGTTGGATCAGCTCCAATTTGCTGCGGGATTTTCTTCCCAAAAGAGGCTCTTCCAGGCCGTTCACTACGTAGATCACGTGCTGTATAGACTTATTGTTATGTTGTATTGTTGCTTGAAACTTGCCCAACACTTCGAGTTGCTGCCTGTTCGCACCGTAGAGCTTGGCAGCTGTCTCCTCAAGGGTCACCTTGCTTGGGACAGTGTTTGGCGGCATGGCACTGACGTCTGCACCAGAGGCTATCTTGAACGTAGCAGGCGCTCCGTTGACTCGCAGTTTGACTTTCCACGCACTTCCTTCAGCTGCGTGGATGCTTCCAATCATCCAGTTTGGCGCTTCATTTGAGTCCTGTAGAGTCACCTCTTTTAGGGTGCTCTTGCCCTCATTCCTAAGCTTCTTAAAGCAAACTTGTTGCCAGTGACCTTTTTTTCCGCAGTTGCGACAGATTGATCCCGCTGCGGGGCACTTGGAGTTTTCGTGTGCATTGTTGCCACATCTTCCACGCGTCTGTGTTCTAGCCGCATTATTTTCAGCGTTTTTCGGCGTGTATTCTCGCCGCTTTGCGCCTTTCTCTTTTGCTGACATTCTTTTGTGGAGGGCATCCAGCGTCATGTCTTCTGCTTGGGACTCGCCTCTGACGACGGCTTGCTGTCGATGCACGGCTTCTTTCTGTCGAGCTCGAGTGTACGCAGCTTCCAGTGTCAGATTTGGGTCGCTTTGAAGTTTTTCTGAGAGCGAAGAATCTTGCAATCCAACGACAAAACGATCGCGGACGAGTTCTTCTTTCAACGCGCCGTAGCCGCAATGTGTTACTAGGCGATGCAGGCTAGTCATGAAGCTCTCAGCAGATTCACCCGGCTCTTGTTTCTTCTGGTGGAACTTGGCCCGTTCGTAGATAACGTTTCTTTTGCCGACGAAGTGGCTTTCGAAGAGTTGGGCAACTGCTTTGAACTGTCGCTGTTCGGTGTCGGTCAAAGCCGAGGCGGACAAAATGTCTTCCGCGTCCTCACCGAGAAAGTAGATTAATGCGTCTACTTGCGATCCATCGTCTTCTTCATCGAGTTTCGAAACTCTACGGTACCTGTTAAAACGGGTGATCCACCTTGGCCATTCTTCTGGGCGCTTGAAATCAAAGGTTGGCGGCGCCGTGAAACCCGTTGCTAGCAGTGTTGTTGGGGCCGTTACATTCTCCGAGTTCGATGAGGCTTCCATTTCCGGAGCGCTTCTGACACCATGTGGTAGTATTTACCTGATTGTACCGGTCGTACCGGGTAACAAGCAACACTACGTGTAGAACGTTTTGAGATCCCCTGGGCGCTGTGTCCTCTTCTTCCTCTTTTGTCCCCCTACTTGCCCCGTTTATTCGGACTTACAAAACAATATTATTACACATTAATTTCCCAGCATTTGTTTCATCTTTCGCGTTCTGACTTGATGGCCGAAGAAAAGTGCGGTGACTAACCAACGATGTCGGAGGTAGAAATAAAGCTCAACTCATCGATTTGTTCCGAAAACTTCTGATTTTTGCTCGTGTTCAGTCGTTCAGTCCTATGTAATTCTTTCCTGAGTGATGATTTTTTTTTTTTTTAATACAGAACATATGCGTGCATTGAAAACCTCAGATAAAAACAAACGATAAATACAAAAAAAAAATTGGGTACTATTTTTGTGAAAATCTTTTTATTGAAATTATTCCAGTAAAAGCGATCTCATGTAAATCACGATTTAAGTCATCTTGATTTTTATTCTTCACCCTCGCAGTAGCCCTCGTTCCGATTTTATGTCAATCCATTTAGAGTGAGCGTTACCATATTTAATTCTGAAGTAGCCGCGGAATAGAGGAAATATTACTTTTTTTTTCGTTCGAATGAGGTACGAGTTGAAATCACCGCTTTTTAAACAAATGGTAACATATGGAAATTTGGTAATGTAATGTCGGTATACTAAATAAAAGGTTATTTCATAAATAAATATCCAGAAACTTCATATATTCAAGCTGCAGCCATCTATACTGGTTATATATATCCCCCGTTATTTTTTTTTTTAATTAGCATCTATTGAAATTATTTACTTTACTTTTGTCGGGCAACACCCGATGTGTTACAGGACGTTTTGATATTTTACAAATAAATTCTGTTAGTAAATCGCAGAATTACCGCATGCATGCACACAAGGGATCCCAGCGTACTTCAGTTGAGAGAAAGTATTTCAGAACGCTCGATTTTTAGATTCGTAGGCGAAGTTTTGTTTGCACCCGTTAATAGGCCGGTGAGCTTTTCCCCGCATCGGACAGTTTGGCGGTGAACTTTTTTCCGGTGAGTTTTTCTCTCTCCACCCCTCCCCCCCACTTTGCCTCCGTCTCGGGTTTTAATAAATTGGGGTCTGTATGTTTATACCAACGGAAGTTAGTCTGTCTCAGTGGACGTCTGGTGTCTCAGCTGTAGATGAGAAATTTAGCCAGTGTGGTACAACCGCTAGTCCGGGGTCCTTAACATGCACTACGCAGTAGTGATATACGACCGCACGCCGGCACGACGTTCGCCCAGATTTTTAAGATGTCAATTAGCAGCCAGGTCGCCTGCTTAATAACGTTGTCTATTAACTGTGTACATTATGAAATCTATTTAGTGGTGATGCTCATCGCATCTGTGGACTGCCGGCTTTTTTGGTGATCTTGGTGTCGAATGTTGCATTCTGTGACGCCACAATAGAACACAAACGAGAACATGACGAACAACATGATGGTGCGCGTTCGACGCTGTCTGATTGGTGATATCAGCTCGTAGCGTCGGCTACGTCTTGACTAATTGTGAAACCAAGTATAGCTAAAATAAAAAAAACCGCACTCCCATATTGAAGATTTTTTTCTGTGCGGATCGCCAACAAGTCGTGGCCGGCCTGTTCGCCCTAACGCAAAAAACACACTTATGCATGGTCCTGTAAGGTCTCTTTACTGGACGCCATATTTGAGTGCGCTGTCCACTACACATGCTCAGAATGAGCTCACAGTTATAGACTGCTATGAGTGGCAATCTTGATAGTGTGGGATGCACGTTGCAAGATAAGTATGAGAGCTCGCCATCGACACGGGCTGAGCATCTGCTCAAACAAGTATGGACGCCAGAGAATGCTCCTTATAGCTTCTTATTCCGATTTCTACTCAAGGGGAGTTTTGAATATAGCTCTGTCTCCAGCCCACCTTAACGTAGTTAGCGCCCCCCCCCCTCCCCCTCTCCCTCCTGTTCCGCCTCCCCTGTTTTCCAGTGGTAATAGATAAACTACAAATGAAGACAAGCGCATTAATTTTGGCAGTTGAATAACAGCCAGGTAGACAAAACAATTGAACAAAGGCGAGTCCAGTGTAGGCGTTTCAACGTGTACGGATGCAGATGGACAGTTACCTGTTTCTGAAAGTTTCGTCGATCCAAGACACAACCGCATCGGGTATGGGATGAATGGCCTGGCGCACCAACCAATGTTTCGTCTGGTCGACAGCAAAAAAAAAAATATTATCATTTACGTTTAAACCGTATGGTTAGTTAGAAGAGTTATAGTTAGCGATTTCAAATAATTAACTGACGTGACAACTATGTTATTACGTGTAAGTACTGTATTTCCCAGGGTATGGTTCGCGGACTGCACATGTTTAAGAGTTTAAATTTCACCTGATGCGGACTATCTAGAGGTGCGGACTATAGACTTTTGCATCACTTATCACCCGGGCCAAAAGTGCTGAATCACTGAGCAGGGGACGCATGCACAGCGTGTCATATACCGCGCAGCAGAGCAACAGCGCATCCTCAGAAGGCGTTCCACAGCCCAGTGGAAAAAGATGGCAGCGAGCAGCAGATTATTTTTGCAATTCTTCTAGATCGTTCACTGTGACAAGACGTGAAGGATATTATGAATAACCGAGCATGTCAGTGTTGATTTATGTATGATTCAAGCTTCTGCTGTGAGTTAATACAGCAGGCATTTGTCAAGGTGTGCTGTGTAAATGTTTACGTTCGGAATAAGTACTAGGTGCGGACTATACACGGCGTGCGGACTATGCACAGCGTGCGGACTATGAACCTGGTGCAGACAATCTAAGCAAACATTTTTATTTTTGACCCTAAATTTTATTTTGCCGACTATGCACTATGTGATTACCGAAAAATACGGTAATCACCACTCTAATCCACATCCACACACACACACACACACAAAAGATATTTTAAGGAAAACAATTTCTTTGTCTATTACAGCAACAAAAGACGCCGGTTTATCAACATATACTATATGGCAAAATTAATTTTCTTGAGATTTACCTTCCGTGACATAGCGTTAAAGGGGTACTCCACCGATCTTTTGAGCTACCTCAACTAACTATGTTTTCTGACTCCCCGGCCTTTAGCCTTTCCGGTATGCTATTTAGCATCGCGAAATTCATAATAGGTATTGTGAAATCGGCAAATGAAAATGGTACAAAAACCAGTATTCAAATATTCGCGCACATTTCAGTGCCGTGACGTCAGTGGCAGGCAGGCTTGCCAGACGAGCAAGTAGTCTAAAAATAGAATATGCCAATCATTTGTTCCGTGCTGGAGCGCAAATACGGGAGCGAGCTTCCAAAGCACTCATTTGACACCAAGAAACTGCTTCAAATCCGTTGGGAACAACTTCTGTAGTCCAAAAAGTTAACCCCTGCCTTCCACTGACGTCACTTTGTTGTTGTTGCCAGTAGAGACTTTCAGTTTGAAAAACATGGTGAAGACCAAAACTCTAAATTCAATAACTTCGCGAAAAAACAATATTTTGACCTAATATTTGGGATACTATTTTAGCAATGTTTGTTGGTTAGTTTAGCAAAATTTCAAGCAAATCGGAGACAACGAAGAAAACGGTGGAGTACCCCTTTAAAAGAAATTATATACTTCACTATGTAGTTATATGAGCTCAACAAAAATCAGCTAAAACACAATCAGCTCAAATATTGAAAATAGATTTGCTTATAAAAGCGATCAAGGTTAGTGTTATTAAAGTTCAAATTTACCTCCTTTACGCGCGTCAATTTTAATCATAAATTACATTATATACGCGCTTTGAGCTGGAAACTATTAACGACGAAATCAGTGCGTTGTGAAACCTATTAAAAGAACACCTTTCAAAGGCCATTAAGATTACTGCAGCACTACTGATATTGCACCTTTATTTTCAGGCGAAATGATGAAATTTTTTAATGTTTTGTAACACCCCTAATGAGTGGATACAAAGAGCTAAAGGGCTGGTGAGCGGAGGAAAATTAGACATTGCTGCGAGCAGGTTGGAGAAAGAGCAGCGACAAACTATGTGGAAAAGAAGGAGGACTCTGTCACAAATCGAAGAGTGTATTGTGCTATAAAATAGAATGTATGCACACTCACAGACAAACCCAAGGGCATAAACCACGTGATTTAAATATTTCCCGAACCACACAAGTTACAAAAACAAACCCGAGCCACGCTTAAACAAAAATATCCTCACAAAACCGCTTGCAAATTTTCTAAGTGCTGCTGCGTGAGAATATTCGGGGTGTTTCTTGGTCTTGCTTTGTCCTTGTACGTTGTGTGGTTCCAGAAATGTTTTAATCGCGTGATATGTGACCTCGTCTAGGGTTTTGGCCTTTTGATTTTTGTTTTTTCTGGTGCAATTTCTTCGTCGGGAAGCTACTTTGAGTACTCTACGAGCTTGTTTGTCTTCTGGAACATTATGTCATTGGCACTGTTCTTATGTTTATTTCAAGTTTAACCATACTGGAAGGCAAAGCAGGGTTGATATTACTATGAAGGCACCATACTACAATAAACCACTACCTTACAAACACGTTTCTTTTCGCATTATTGGTCTCATACAGGAGCAGAAATGTAACTTCAAACGCAACTCCCCTGCATCCAACAAATAACTAGTGTGATACGTTAAAAAAACGATATGCAAAAGATTATGTCAACTAAAATAATAATAATAATATTATGATGATGAATTAAGCCAGAGGCACTTTCCGGGTAGCGATATACGCCCCAATCGTTACGTCAAATAATTAACCTGAACCGTTTCAGTCGTATATCAATTTTGTCAATCATATGTGCCGTCTTCAAAAGCTGCATGGCGAAATCGCAGGGTGAAACTGCGCAGAAAACAGCGGTCGCTCGTTACACCAGACTGCATACCTACTGCAATTCACAATGATAGAGTTCTAGAGCACCTTTTTTTGAAATGAACCTAATCCTTCACAGGATCCTGCGGTCTTATGGGCGACTCACAGCGTTGGAGCTGACATTGAAACTGGGCGTTCGAGGCGCCTGCACCCCGTTGTAGGCGTTCCTGTGTCTTACGGCCGGCGTGAACGGCTGGTGTGGCGCCGGGGGAGACAGGAACATGAAGAACGGCTTGGACTGGTTGGTTCTGGGCCGGAGGAAGTTGGCGGCCTTCTCAGACTGGGGGCGGAAGAGAAGAACGTGAAACAATGGGTCGCGCATGTTTCTAGGCGTTTTATGTATCGGCACTTGGTGGGCTTTACAATGGCGTTTGGTGTCCCTGCTGCCAAGTGGCAATTTAGCCAGTGCAGTACAACTGATTACCTTCGTTCAAGTGCCAGTTCGGTGTTTCGGGATTGATTTGAAAAGTCCTAAGCAGCACAATGCTATGAATTCATTTAGATACGACTTTGTTGTGGCATTCGGAGTTTATTTTAAAGAGGCCATTCTTTTTAGGATATTTTTCAACGTGTTCATTTTTATAACGCAAGCATACCATATCGCTATCGAAGTGTAAAATAAATATCTGGATGTTTTCATCTCGATCCAGTCAATTCAGGCATCTTAATTCAGGCTCGACGGAGATTTTCTCATGGGGAATATACGTAATCGTGTTTTGAGGTTATGTGGGTCAGGTCACGGACGCTTGCTGATCCCACTACTTTGCAGAGAGTCGAGGACAGACTGTTCCTTTCCTACATATTGTCCAATCGCTCCGGTGAGAAAGGAAAATGATGTCGAACGATGAGTTCAATGAGCTTGATGATGTGAGTGAAAAGCATAATGGATACTTCAAGTCCCTGCATTTCTAAACCAACCACGTCAAAGTTTACTGCGAGTTTAGGCTAGTTGGTACTTATGTCGACGACGTACTTTTTCAGGTGACTAATGCGTGCGACACCCTCACAGTTCCCATATTGCTCCGAAGCACTCACTAGTGGCGCTGGCGTTTCCAGAAAGGTCGATTGGTTGCCATGCTTTACACAAGGCACTGATGACTCGGTGACTCGCGGCCGTTTGTCCACGCCACGCAGTTAAACACATTCAAGCGCAACTGTGATTACTAGGGGGGACCCAAAAGTAACCGAAATAAATTTCTGGAGGATGGGCCGTTTGCTTCCACTGTTAGCAGCGCTTAGCAGCAACCCCCTTTCGTATCAGGTTGCCGACCGGCGTCGTCTGCTAAAGATCTAGCGGTAGCAAGTTCGGCACTTTTTCCCCAAGCGCATCAAAATCATTCCTCGTGTTTTGCAATGTTTGATTTGAAGGAACAGCGTGCGGTAGTGAAATTTTGTTTTATTTTAGAGAAAACGGCACGGGAAGCTCTTGTAATGTTCACGACAGCTTACAAAGGACATGATAAGAAGACATCGGAGGTCTACGAGGGTTTTTCTAGCTTCAAGGCCGGAGAGTTATTGATTGACGACCAACCTCATTTAGGGCGACCCTCAACCTCCTCAGCTAATGACAACATCAAGAAAATTAGGGTATTGTTCACTGCGAGTTTGTTCCTTCTGGTGAGACTGTTAATCAGGCGTTTTAGCAGAATGTTTTGAGGCACTTAAGCAACTCAGTGAAGGAGAAACGCCCGATTTGTGGGAAAGGGGGGAGTGCAAAACGTTTTGAACAAAACTACACGATACCACTCCCCCCCCCCCCCCTTCCTATTAATGGGAGCTTCCCTCATGCGGCTTTTTCTGTTCGCCGGTATGAAAACAGTCCTGAAAGAAAAACTGCTCTTGGACGTGCAAGGTCCTTCAAATTGGACATTGCACACAAAACGAGAAATGATTTTGAAGCGCTTGGGGAGAAAACTCACTACATGCTGCTAGAACTTTAGCAGACAACGCTGGTCGGCAAACTGACTCGGAAGGGATGCCGCTAGGCGGTGCTAACGGCAGAAGCTGGTACGGCGAACGGCCCGCCCTTCAGAAATTCATTCCGGTTACTTTTGAGTCCCCCCTCGTATATACCTTATGTTTTGTCGACATCATCAACTGCCGATCGTGTCGCGAGTGACGCTATCGCATTATGACGAACAATACTTGTTGCGTGTTGATCCATAGCCTTCTCTATACTGACATAGTGAGTATAGAGGAGGCTATGGTTGATCTTATGTACCGAGTGAGATAGAACACCATGACAAGCTTAACGCGGACGTCATCAGTTTTGGTAAGCCAAGACATGAAACAAGTGCGGTCCTGCTAAACGAGGCTCGGCGTAAAAGCAAAAAGTCTTGGGCTAGCTCAGGGGTGTCTACCGATGCCCTCGTTCCCGTCTATACGCGCACAACACTTCAGTACACCACAGGCGCAAAACGATCTCGTTGGATGGAAGGCTGAATAGATATACAGGAAAGATCGCAGCGAGCTGAGGTCTGTCAGAAGCTTTTCGACATGGACTCAGAGGAGTACCGGAAACTGCAGCGCGTCAGCCTGGAACAGTTTCTGCAGCTCCCTTCACGCGTCGAACCAAGAATCGCGCAACAAAACTAACAAAACAGAATGATAAGCATGTTTTCATTTTTCTTGTAAGGAACAAATTCTAATGTTCTTGCCACTTCAAACGATTTTTAAGTAGTCTCCGCCTTGCCGTCAAAATATATAGTTTTCGTTGTTGATGAACTTAAAAAAATAAAATAAAAAACGACTTTGTTTTAATTTATGATCAAAAATGAAGACGAGCGGACTCCGTTCACCTCGACCAACGGCCTGACGAGTCTCAGTTGATGTCACAGTCCACGTCTCCCAAAAGCTTTCTTTTCTCTCAATCTCGAGTGCGACTGCCATCAGTCCCTGCAACATTACTGCTGGATCTGTTAAATTAATTTATGCTGCGCGCAAGCGCAACTTCGAACTAGAGCTTCGTCGACATTCCCTGAAATACAAAGGACATTTCTATTTGAGTCGTTAAACTGAATTTAGAAATCGTCTTCGTGGTCCCATTAAGAAACGCGGGGCGTGGCTTCTCATCTTCACTTACAGCGTTGTGATTCGTTCCTTGGCGTTCTGACGGCTAATGCCGGAGCCTCACTGTCGGCGGAGCGATAAGAGACTCGTGATTCACCAGGCCAGACGTTCCTTAACCCCTTGTTGCACCTTGTTGCAGTTCTTTAAACTGTGAGTAGGCAAAGTACCTCCCACATCTCCGCAACAACTTTTTATGAAACGTGCACTTGTTCAGCCATAGCAAGCCCTGTTCAGAATAGTAGTTTCTCTTCCATAAGAGCACAAAGCGAGAGGTGAATGATTTTCGTCGTGCCTTACAATCACATCGGTGAGGTAATCCTTGAAGGGGTTGTCACCGTAGTGCTCGGGAACGCCGTTGACAGAAAGCGTGTAGTTGTAGTACACCGAGTTGCCAACCTGGAACAGAGTGATATGCTACGTTTTCAAGGCTATACTCTATTTCACCTTATGATATACCACAGGAAAGGCTACAAGTGCGAGCTCCTTCCTCTATTGGGGAGGAGATCGAACAGTCACGCCTCTGGCGGCACGCTTCAGCTGTGGGGACAACAAACCGAATTTTCTTGTTTATTTTTGATCAGCGATATCGATGGTGAGGATTCGAAGGCCGCTCCTCGTGCAACCAAAGCACTGGTAAGAGTGAAGCGCTCGTGTCCAGACCGTGCATGGCGAGGTTCAATTTCTTTGTTTTTCTGTGTTAGTAAACACCGGGCTGTGGGGACAACAAACTCGATAAAGCTCCCCCTATAGTTCGATCTCCTGCCCAATAGGCACGTCTCGGCGGCACAAGCTCTAGTGCATTAAGGGCCGCTGCCAACGCTTTGAGCTCGCGCTTGTAGCTTTCGCTGCGGTACAACCTAACGCTCGCCTTCCACAGATTTTTGTTTTTTACGCTGTCAAAGCTATTCTAGCGCGAGCGCGTGCGAAAGCAAGAGAAAGTCACATGCACGTGCTCTAGGAGCGGTACGAGGCCGCAGCACTGTTGAAGCTTCGGTAGTCTTGACGACACTGGACGACATAGCACAAATCAGTTGAGGAAAAGTGCTAGAATAATGTGGAGATCACAAAGGGATGGAAATGCGAATCACGGAAATGCGTCACGTGTTCTCTTTCCCCTTTTGCGTATGCAGTGTGAGGAGTTATCTGTACCTCGAAAATATTTTGAGATTATAACTCTTGCTTGTGTTGAACCTCTCAAAAGTTTTATTTTATATTTATTAAGAGTTGCGGAAGTTTCTAAGCATATGCTGGAGTGGCGTCTCTGAAGAGTCGGCGTTCCGCTCACTGTTGTCAACGTAACTCCTTTTAGAGAAATTACACTAGGGTCTGCTCAAAGAGTAGCACTGAAGGATGTACACCCATCTTATTACATTATCAACATATTGCCACGGATGAAGGGAACGGACGATGAATAATGAACTGCAAATAAAGGTTTAATCGGCAAACTTGTGCTAAAGAAAAAAGGAAGAACAAACGTTGAGAAAGCAGCTGCGAGCGTCGACGGTGGTAGCAACGAGCGACGCTGCGTCGGCGTGACAGCTGTCTAGCGCGAGACTGAATGTGCAGTCGGGAGAATCAGAATGAGACGGCAAAGCCGCGTTCGGCTCCTTACCTACCATATTGGGCTTCTTGAAGATTCACCCTGGAATGTTCCGGAGTGAACTAGGGCGAGACTAACTCAGCAAGTTTATTCTGGACGCTTTATATTTTACACTCGGGGTAAGAATAAACACGAAAATTATCGATGCCCCGAGAAGCGTTAATTCTGGATTATGCACGCGGCAGTGGGATTAAATTGCTAAGCCTTTCCACTCTCGATCATTGCTTGCAGTTGCAAGTATTCAAAATTGTCAGGAAATAATTCAACACTTAACCATTTTTCACGGGGTCCATATCACATGACTCAATAGGGAGTTTTAGAATAGCGCACGCTAAAGCTTTGCGTACGCAAAGAATAGCGACGTCGCCACTGCGCATGCGCTGAAGGCTAACCACGTTCTGCGCTTTGCGTGCGCTATTCTAGCGTACGCTATTTTCGGAAATTGCGCGCGTACGCAAAGAGCCTTTGCGCTACTCCAAGGTGGATTCGTAATGAGAAGTTTGCTAAAGCCAAGATCAGCACAGTTAAAAAACGGCCGCTCTCAGGACCATGGCTCCGGCCGCTTTCGCGACGTCCGGAGCGCTGCGTCGGCAGCATCCTCGCGACTGCAATTTCCAATACGGGATGATATTGCACTTGATTTGGGAAACCTAGTAAAATGGGCAACGATCACCGGCAACTTGATTCTTGAGGCGCGCGAACATTTCTCGGCAGATTTACGGTGTGCGAAGGTCACTACACGAGACCTCTCTTGCCGAGGCGACGCAAGCGGACACGACCGGTCGACCGCTCGCGTCGCATTCTCATGTTTAAACAAACATAAAATGTTACTCTGGACTAAAAAACACACACACACACAAAAAAAAAGTTTTTCTCTCAAGCTACAGAATTTTGTGTGGGAAGTAAAAACTGGTGACTATCTTGGTTGCGCTGCAAGCGCGAGACGCTTGGGCTTTTGCGTCGTGGCGGAGAAACACTATTCTACAACTCTCTTGCGTAGCGTGTGCCGACGTAAGCGCTAAATTTAGCAATAGCGTGCGCTAAAAATCCGTACACTATTCTAAAACTCTTTACTGACGTTTTAGCAATCAGTGGTAATTTGAGCAAATCGACGTTTGAGCGAATGACAAGGGCGCAATAGGCACCCCCCCTCCGAGCTGCGTTCACTGCCCTTCGCGACGGCAGCATGCAGCGGCTCATTCCAAAACTATTAGCCCACATGGCCCACCCGTAAACGCCGTTTCGCATCGGCCGACCGTTGCCGAAGTGTCTTTCGATAGCAAGCAGGCGTTCGCTAAAACGTCGTTCGAACAACTGAGTGCCACCCACGAAAAAGAACCTACTCGATATCACTTCAACATGAATAGGTTAAGGACTGTCATAATTTAAGACTCTTTTTAACTTAAATTAAGAGTTCGCATCGCAAATAAGTTTTATGGGACTTATCTCTACAGTCACCGAGAGCTCTAGAAACGCAGGGTGTGCCTTATGCTAACTCTTCTTGCTTCGTGATAGGCTGTTTGGCATTCTTTTCTGCCAATGCTGCAACCTCGTTGGCTGCGCAGCCATCACCAGACGCTCGGGAGTACCGCGCCCCTGCGTTTCATCTGTTGTCAGTGATATAGTTGTCGAATTCGAAAAGGAACATGCAAAAATATCTCATAATATATGATCAGTAGTCTACAACAAGCCTCAAATATATCCTCTCAAATATGTAATCACTATTTTTCATCTAGATGCGGGAGAACCAATCTTGTGCAAAATAATTTGTCCGGAAAATATTTTGAATTTTGTGGCTATAAAATTGCTGTGTCTGACTAAAAATATTAACGATATTGTTATAAAAATTAATAAGAAAGCATGTTGTCGTGGCAATTTAAAAAAAAAGGAAACAAAATAAAATAAGAAATATAACTTTACTGAAAACAATACCAGAAGGGCGGACCTTACCAGAGCGTTCCAGCTGTCCCACCCAGGGGGAACATGCTCCACTCCTCCAGCGCTTTTGTGGCCGTACTTGAAAACCAAAGTAAAGACAAGAAGTAAACACCTAAAATCAACACGCAATACATAGCAGAATCTGCCATATATTCAGAGCCGCCTCGGTGGCTCTGAGGCGAGAGCGCTGGCCTACGGATCCCCATGTGGCGGGTTCGATTCCCGGCCGAGGTGCCCGCAATCTGACGGAGGCTTATTGCGGAGGAGGCGCCGTGTAACCGAGCTTTCGGTTGCACGTCAAAAGATCCCCAGGTGATCTAAATTAATCCTCAGTACTCCGCTGGGGCGTGCCAGATGCCCGTCGTTGGTTTGGTACGTAAAACTCCCAAACTTGACTTTGACCATATATTTAGTTCGAATCGGTATGCAAAAAAACAAAATATTCCCCGAAAAAAAAAAACACATAAAAAAACAGACTGTAAAAATTGAGCGCAAGAGGGCAGTGCTGCAATGACTCCAAGGTGAGATGGCGGCGATGAAGGTTCTTGGTCTGAAACGGGAGCTGAAAGCACGGGGTCTTTCTACTTCCGGTAACAAAAACAAACTTTTAGAACGATTGCAGGCTACCACTGCAGCTCTCACAGATCTGCAGCCAGATCTATCGATAGATACCCAGCAGGGTATTTATTCTGAAGAGCGACTGGACACCATCGTGGCGGAGAATGAAGAAGAAGTGTATTCCGAAGCCAACATAATTTCCCTGAAAGCGATTACTTCTGATACGGAAGAATACGTTGACTGCGCTGAGGAGCTCTCAAGGGCAGGGACCACGTCTGTTGTCCAGGAGTACCAGGATCAACATCACCTAACCACACGGTTGTCGTCTGATGCACTGACCCAGGCTACGCCAGAACGCCAGATCACAGGAAAAAGTTGGCCAGCCACAACCTGCCCGGTCGCTGGTCAAAAGGCCAAGGCACCTGAGAACATCAACCAGGACAGTGCGACTTTCACTGAGTTAGTAGGAGATGAGAGCAACCAGGAAGTAATTGATTGCTGCTTGACATTACCAGACACCCCGCAAAATGAGGTAGAGCATGTGAGCATAGATGAGATAAGGACTGCCGACTATAACATCACGCAGCAGAGATCCCAACAGGAGAGAATTGAAAATTTTGAATACCAAGTGAGACAGGTTACTGAGCGGCTATACCAAGTGGACATAGACAGGAAAAATATGGCTCAAATGGCACTGCTGTTTAAAAGATCCGAGAAGAAATGGCGAGAGACGGTGGAAGGTCGAGAGGCACTGGTGGGTTTGATTGCCCGCTGTGAAGGGCTTGAAGCAAGGCTCAACAGACTCTTGGCTGTTCAGCTAAACGACCTGCGTGTGGCGTCACCAGAGAACTCCCAAGACAACCAGGAGGGGTGTACCACCAAGACACGCGAAGAGAGTACACTTGAAGACGCAGGGAATGGGCGGGACACAACGTCTACTTCCAAAGACATTCCAACCTGGTCCAAGAATTGCTCCCAAACTACGTCCAAGTTACCAGAAACCTCAGAGATAGAGGGGAGTCATCAACTGGAGATACACAAGGACAATGAACCCACAAACGTGCGTCAAAACATCAAAAGTAGCGCACAGGAGATGGAAGAGCTGTAGCAGAGCAGGTATGCCCAGCAAACGACGCAGTGTTCGAAACATCTAACCTGTGGTAGCTTAAACATCACACAAGCCCCCAAAGGAGGCATAACCGCGACCAACCAGGCAGTAGATGCTACCATTCAAGAGAAACACACAAGCGTGAAGATCTCGGGAGAACGCAACGGTAAAGGTAAATCTGGAGCCGAAGTTGAGCCCCCACACGGAGTCACGCGAGAGGTTATCCTCGCTGGGGATAGCAATGTCGCACGCATTGCGCCAACGTTACACGATGAGGTCCGTGATCCCAAGAGGCTTGAGATTTTACTCAATAGAAAAGCTACGGTCGATGTTATCCGTCAACTCATCGACACATATGAGGCACAGGCACGAACGGTTCCCCGAATGTACATATTACATATAGGCGTCAATGACATCCTCCAAGGCGAAAATCCCGGTTCAATCGTAAATCGCCTACAGACGAGGTGGTCAAAACGGAAGCCGGCATTAGCCATCTGCTCCGTCCCAGAGATTCACAGCAGAGGAAAGGGGCTACAGGCCGCCACCATAATGCGTAATGCAAACTTAGGCGACTGTGCAAGGTGATCAGAGCGAAGTTCATTGACCTCTCTCATGGCATGACAGAAAGAGCGATGAAAAAAGATGGACTACACTACCAGAAAGAAAGAGTGAAAGTCGTATCTGAGATTGTGGGGGCGGCAGCGAGTCGTTTTTTAGGCAACCGAAACAAGAGATATCAAAACAGGGGACGCACAGATGGGCCCCAAGGTACCGTACAGATGGTAAGGGGCGAGGAAAACCAAGCGGACCACAAAAAGACACGTACACTTCGTGTTGTTCAAGCACACAGTGTCCCCTACCACCCCCCCCCCCCCCACACACACACACAAGATCTATACTATGCTGCAGAAGAAATAGACCCGCATCGACAGACTCACTACCTGAGCGACCCAGTGTTTCCCAACAACTATCGGAGAGTCCAAGCCCCAACTGCCGACCTCACTCACGAGCTATATGGGTCCCCCATCGCCATGGAACCAATCGGCAACACACAGATACACGCGGTGGGGCGTGAAGAATATGGCCCGCGGGGATGGCAGTGTCATCTACAATGCCCCTTCCACAGGGAATGCCTGTGAGACTTGTGGCTCCATTGCACCCACCACTCCTGCCGCGCCCACGTTATTTTTACAATGCGACGCCACAAAGAGACAGACAGCATCGTATGGAGCTCGAGCGGGGATGGGGGCACTAAAGGTGCTCCAGGCAGACAGCGCCGCAGCACGTTCCTTCAACAATAACCGGCGCAAGTGTGGAGGTAGAAGAAGAAAACGAAAGTGCCGAGGGCAGGCAACGGTCACCCAGCGGGGTTCTTAAATCTACAAGGAGCGCGTAGAGAGCAGAAGTGGCAAGAACTCTTCCAAGAAATGAAGGCTGCAAATATGTTGCTGTTCGGAGTGGTGGAAACTCATATGAGAGATTTTGAGGAAACCCCTGCACACCCCGATTGGTGCTGGGCAGGATGCAATCGTGTAGAAGGACAGCGACGTGGAGGCGGAGTGGGGCCTTTTGGCGCAGTGGGTCAGACTGGAAAAGAGAGCTCCAGGAGTGCAAGGAACATTTGTGGTTAACTATGGAACATTTAGGTTTTCCTGTGGCAGTGTGTATTCTGTACCTCTCGGTGGGAAGCGCGCGACGTGAGGAGAAACAAGCTGTAGAGGTCATATGTGTGTATATGAACAGCCTCTTGGCCCAGCGGCACCGGTCCATGAGTCGAAGTCGCCCGTCATAGGAAACCTTGCTTGTCGCCTCCCTCGCTTCGAAAGACAACCAGTCCAGGTCCCCCTGCACTGCCTCATTCGCCACGGTGCCATGGCAACCGGGAAAAAATCTTCTAATCATGGGAGACTTTAATGGACATATACACGAGTTGGATGGACGGGAGGACGACAACGGGCGCATGCTACGGAAAATAGCGGAAGAGCTAGACTTAGAAGGTAATCAACCTACACTCCAATTGTGAAGGTCAATATACATGGAATGCACGCGACAGCAAATCTTGCATTGACTATGCCCTGATCTCACATCATTTGGGGCGATACCTGTTACGCGTCCAAATTGACGAAGCAAGGGAGAATAGTCTAGGCAGTGATCACAATAGAATTACTCTTCAGCTGTCTAAAGGAGTGTGGAATGAAGAAACAAGCGGCATGACACAAGTCGGCTGTGTCTTTCCCACGCAGCTGCGGCTAATGTAGTTGAAATGTTTGAGAAGAGCGACCAGAGGAAGAACGTATCAGGGTACGTGGAATACGTAGACACACTAAAACAACTGATAAGATAGCATTCAACAAAGAGTCATGGTGGCCGGAGGCGACGGAAGCGATGATGGGATGGAGAGATCCAAGCTGCAATCCAATTGCGAAAAGAGGTGAATCGGCAGCATCGTTTCGCACTCCACGCGGGGTCCAGCCACGAGATCGCAGAAAAGTGGAAAATGTACCAGGAACAAAAGAACGCCACCAAACAACTGGTACAACAGAAGCTGGCTGCTGCAGACCTAGATAAAATTAGGGAAATACGGTCAAGTGGGAAAGATGCGCCCAGGGAAGTTTTGGAAATACCTGGCAACCCTGGACGGCAGGGATCAAAATCCAGTCATCATACACGAGCGCACAGGATTGGAGGTGGACGCGCTTGACCAGTGTCTCACAGAGCATTTGATGGAAGTGTTCGCACCACAGGAAACGGCGTTGCTCCAAACAATCACCACAGAAAACAGCACGGAATGTACTATCGCGAGTTCCGACGAGAAGATTGGCCTGGTGTCAATTGTACGTGCTCTGGCCCACGTCAAAAGCAGCACGGCTCCAGGCTTAGACGAGATACCAGCATGCGTCCTCAAAACACTACAAAAGGATTCGAGAGAACACCTGGCTGAGATCTTCACGGACATTCTCATCGGAAGACAGCCTGTACCTAGAGACTGGAGGCGAGGTAAGGTTGTGCTTTTGCCAAAGTAAGGAGGAGATCGGCGCTACCTTCGGAACTACAGGCCCCTTACAGACCAGCATTGTGTACAGGGTTTCCGCAAGCATCCTCAAAGAGCGCATGACAACATGGGCGGAGAAAGGGGGTATTCTCACCGAGCTCCAAGGAGGGTTTCGTCGTGGCCGGAGACTGGAGCACAACGCGTACACCCTTACACAGTGCATTGAAGTGGCTCGAAAAAAGGAGAGGAGACTAATATGCACCTTTTTAGACGTCGCCAAGGCTTATGACAGCGTTCCACACGACAAGCTTCTATCAATGCTGGAGCAGCTCGAAATGCCGACACAGTGGACCGAGCTTATTAATCGCTCATACACAGGCAACACGGTGACAACCCAGGTAGGAGAGGTCAGATCAGAAAAAAATCGTCGTAACACGTGGATTGCGCCAAGGATGCCCACTCTCGCCGCTTCTCTACAAGTTGTATGTCGCGCGACTAGAGGAGCGGTTGATAGAATCAGGACTGGACTTCTCGCTACTGCACGTTGAAAATGGAGAGGCCGTGAACTGGGTGCTACCGGGTCTGACCTTCGCGGACGACATTGTGCTGACGGCGGGCTGTGCAACGGCGATGCAGCAACTTCTCGACATATGTGCTGATGAGGCTGCCGTGCTTGGTCCCAAGTACAACACATCCAAGTCCGCCGTGATACAATTCGCGGGCACTGAGAAAGAAAAGCTCGATAGCCTCAGATTGGGTCTTGACGTATTACCGGTACTGAACAAGTATAAGTACGTAGGCGTTGAGTTGTCCAACGAGGCAGGCTATCTGAAAGATCATTACGTCCACCTCCGTCAATCCACCACACGGGGAGCTAACATCCTCCGTAAGCGCAGCCTATGGAGCTGTAATAGATTCATAGTGAGCCGCGAAATGTGGAAGGCGGTGGTGGTGCCAGGTTTGACGTTTGCCAAAGCAGTGGTGTGTGTACCAGGTGACACAAGAACCGCCTTGGAGCGCAGACAACGAGAAGTGGGACGCCAAGCGTTGGGCTGCCATGGCACCGTGGCGAATGAGGCAGTGCAGGGGGACCTGGACTGGTCGTCTTTCGAAGCGAGGGAGGCGAAAAGCAAGGTTTCCTATGACGGGCGCCTTCGACTCATGGACCGGTGCCGCTGGGCCAAGAGGCTGTTCATATACACACATACGACCTCTGCAGAGCCGTTGGCGAAAGCGCCTTTACAAGCTTGAGAAAAAGTTCGGCTTCTTCCCGGAACCGGTGGAGGCGACGATAGAGAAAGAATGGGAGTTTGTGGTGCGGAAGAGGGTCCGCGAACAGGAGAATGTGCAATGACTGGAGGCTGCCCGGACAAAGTCAACCCTTACCATGTATGCGGAGTTAAAACAGCAAATCACGACAGAGACGCGGCTGTACGACAACAGCTTGGGCAGCCGCCTATTGTTCGAGGCTCGTGCTGGAGCCCTGCGCACACAGGTATACAAACAGCGCTTCGACAATAGTGTGCAGTCGACTGTATGCCGAGTATGCGAGGGTGAGAGCGAAACCGCGGAGCACATCATACTCCGTTGTGGCGGAATCCGACCTTCTGCCACTTCTGCCACCGAAGAGGCGAACCAACTACACGAAGGTGTCCCGCCTCTAGCGACAGCGTTGGGCTCCTCGTCAACAAGCGAGACAGCCAATACTACTGAAGCCTTTTGGAAGACCATCGAGCAGACGAAAAGACGACTGGAGGATTGGTGGCGTCATACACAACACAGGGGGCGCTGAATTCACCCCCAGGCTTGGGCATGATTATTCGAGCCCGCCCGTTATAAAGGGAGCAGCCGCAGTATCATCATCATCATCAAGGCGTTTTTCTTCTACAGGCAGTTTTCATGAATTGTTTTTTTTTTTTTAAATACCGCAGAAAGTCGATTTTGGTCTGGACAACGTAGAACTCCTACTTAATTATGGTAATTTAAATAAACTGAACACCGTAAATAGATAAAAAAATGTTTTGTTGACCCACGCCTGTAGTACAAACCTGTAGTAAGGACCAGAAAAACAAATTTATATAAAGTGAGCGGAGACCAATTTTTAATGTAATTTATCTTATTGAGTGCCACGCTGCTGTAGCAGGGTTCTGATGTCGGAACTGAGCAATGATCTTTTTCGCCCTATGTGTACGTCACTATCCCTAAAATAGTTAACATATAGTATAGCATCGCGCCGAAGTTGTGGTGTTGATTACGGCATAGGCTAAGTTTACATGAATACATCCATGTAAGGATGGGCCCAATCACGCGCACCCGAACCGTCCCTCTGTTCTTTTTTAGCCAATCATTGCTGTCAGATGTTAATAGGTTAGCTATTACCACATTGTAAAACAGGTATTGGTAAGTGTTAGGTTGGCGGAGAAAGAACGAGATGCTACCGCAGGCCAGAGTATAAGTATAGTATATAAGTATAGTATAAGTAAGTATAAGAATCTTTGATCTCGTCGTCTACCACCAGCAAGTAGTCGTGTGCTCAGTAGGTGGGAGGCCCTTTCCTATCACAGTAAGCAGTACCAACAGTCTTCAAAACAGTTTTAAGCCTTTCCGGTCGTAAGCAGTCGCGAGCGTGTGAACCAGCCTTTAGGGGGTTCTTATTAGAACTGATATAGGAACGTACTTGATTAAGGTACTTGCCGGCGTAGAATGTTTCGTAGCCCGCCCGCTGCAAGTCGACGGCGAAGTTGAGCTGTTCGGTCCATCGCTGCCACTGGGTGGAGCTGCAGTTTCCGGCCAGAGTGTTGTTACGAACGAAGGCGTTGTGGGCGTATCTTCCCGTCAAGATGCTCGCGCGACTCGGACAGCATAGCGGAGTAGTCACGTACTGCCAGGAAAGAGTTCAAAGTGAGCAATAAATGATGCAAACTTTTTTTTTAGAAGTCTATACTAGTTTGCGTAGTTCTTCAACACAAATTTCCCGCTTTTTTAAAGGGGTTGTAATAACTAGCCCCAAGGCTGATGCCTTCAGCGATTAGGAAAGTGTTGTTCGATAGATGGAACTTTTCACTAAATTTGTTATTAAAGAAAAAAAGAAAAGAAGACGCAGTCGAAAACTGCTTTGCGATTGATTTCTCCTTTCCGCTACCAGGTGCCCTAGTGTTTGATGTCCTTCCCCCTGAACCCCGAACGGAGGGCACATTGAATAGTGTCCCTTCTTCCTTCCTTTCTATCGCAGTATGGGAGAAAAGTTGTTTATACAGCTTGTTGTTTACAGTTTTTAGTTGTTTATACAACTTTAGTGGTTTATACAGTAGGAGTTTAGTCTGCCAGAACATGGCGACATCCTTACCCACTGTAGATAAGCAATTTAGGCAGTGCAGTACGACTGCTAGCCTGAGGTCCTTAACGTGCACCACGCAGTAGTGATACACGGCCGCACGCCTGTACAATGCTCATCCAGATCGAAACGGGCAGGGGTGGGGATAGACCGATCTCACCAGCCAGTTTGACTACGCCACCGCTGTCGCAATGCATCGAGGGAGCTTTAGTCTTTCTGCACGTGCGACAACCTCGCTGAAGCTCTGCGCGTGTGGAGCATGAGGCGGCACGAGCCGTCTTGTGCACTGATGCCTGCCTCCTGCGAACTAAAGTTATGGCGGCGTCACGCATGCGCCGAACGCTTGGTGAGATCGGTCTATCGAACCCAGGATCCCTGGGCTCTGCAGCGCTAGCTTTCGCTCCACGTGCTCTGAGCTGGTGTGTTCTAAAGTCACTGGATCCTGGGAAAGTAACGCCAACCTCCCCGCGTGGTCGCCATCTTGGTCCGTGGAATGAGCAATTTTTCCTTGACCCCTCCGTTTTTGGTGAGCCGATTTAGATTCGCTGGTGACGGGTAGCTTTATTCAGTCATTTTTTTGTATACCGAGATTTTGCTAGTCACACACCGGAGAAACAAGTGTACACGTTCGTACCACCACCAGATGCTGTGTCGGTGCTTGGAGGCACTGAAAAATGAGTTTACTGTCTTGAAATGCGCAGGAAGAACAATATAATTGTAAGAGATCCATGGAAATGGGCATGATTAATAACTTGATCACATACGAAGTGCCAAAGACTCTTATATTGGCGAGGAACGCTTCCAGTACGATGATGCTCCATGGTTGTCTTGGCGCGACTTGTTTAGAACGACCCCCTGGAAGCTTCGAAGATTTAAATGGACCAAGATGGCGATTTCCATGGCAACTTAGGCCGTTTCGTCTACGTTGTCAGCGGCGCCATGACACCCGCATCGCCGGCCCAGCCTACGAAGGCATGTACGTTCGATGTTTCCTGCCCGCCCGGCGCGTCGGTGGATTCTATCTTCGACGCGGCGGCGGCCATTGTCGGCACTGCCGAATTGTTCTCCGTGCAGCATCTGGGAGGCAGCAACTTTCAGATGTCTGTTACATCGTCAACGGCCATGAGCCGAATCGTCAACGCCGGGGCTCTGACCATCGGCGGAACAAGCGTCCCCATCGTCCCGGTAGGCCCGCAAGTAACGTCCATTACGTGCTTCTACCTACCGATTTATGTGAGAAACGAAGCCCTCGCCGCCGCCCTGTCGCTTTACGGGAAGGTTCTGGATATTCGCTTCGGCGTCTACCAGGACCACCCCAACCTCCGGACGGGTACCCGCTACATCCGAATGGAGATGAAGGAGTCTACCCCGGTGCCGAACTTCCTCCGCGTCTCCGGTCATCGGGCCACCTTCGACTACCGCGGTCTCAAGAGAGTCTGCCGACGCTGCCAGCAGGAGGGCCACCTCAAGGCGGCCTGTAGCGTGCCCTACTGTGCCCGCTGCGCCGCCTTCGGCCACGACACCGTCGGCTGCGCGGCCGGCTGCGGACGCTGCGGAGCGGCCCACGCCACGGTGGACTGCACCCAGCGTCGCAGCTACTCAGCCGTAGCCGGCTGCGGCCAGGACGACGTCCCCGCCTTGACTCCGGCGTCCCAGACTCCGAAGTCCCAAGGCAGGCCTCCTACCACCCCTACTCCCCCTCCTGCGGCGACGGCCGCCACCCAAGGGTCCGGTGACACGCCTGCCCCCGCCGAGCCTCCAGTGACGACCCCATCCGAGCTCGCCCCGACATCGCAACAGTCGAAGCCGGCAAGCGCCACCGACGCGAATTCGAACGCGTCACTGGACGCCGCCGAGGCCGCGCTTTCGAATGCGGTCCACACCGCATCTGTGCACGCGCCCACTCCTACCAGTCCCGCCTCAGAGGAAGTACTGGTGAAGGAGGAACGCCTGCGAACGCCGGAACTCTGCCCCAGCCCGCTTCCCAGCTGGAGCGACATTACGGAGGACTCTGCCTCATCGTCGGACGACCGCCTCGTCATCGACGAGGTTGCCTACGACAAAGACAGCGCTCTGCTGCGTGGCCGAGATCGTCGCCGCGGCACCTCCGAGGAACTCCGAAAAACCTGCAGCCGCAGTCGTAGCCCGCATGGCGGTGCCGAAGACGGGAAGCGAGATCTTTCCAGCAGCGGCGAATCAGGGTCCCCAGGATCCACTCCAACATCGGCAGCGGCTCCCAAGCGGTTGCGGAAGGACCTCGTCGCGCTGTCTGACAGCTCGTGCATCACATCCGATACATCCACGGACTAGCAGTGAACACAACGACCCCCCCCCCCCCCCCCCCTCCATTCCCTTTTCGCGCACCTGCGAGTCATCACCCTGAACGTTCAGGGCTTCCGCAGCCTGACAAAACAGATCGAGGTCATCCAGTTCGCCCGAACCGCCCGTTGCGACCTCCTGTTCCTGCAAGAAACGAACTTCCACAGGCAGCGCGACGTGGACCTCTTCAAGCAGCGGTATGGGGTGGATTGTTTCTTTTCATACGCCACTACACGGAGCTCGGGGGTGGGGGTCATTATCTTTAACCGCTCGCTCCTCCGTCTCAGCGCGTGCTGCTTTGACCCCGACGGGCGGTACATCGCTTTTGATTTCTTCGTGGACGGCACGCGCTTTCGTGCTGTGGGCGTGTACGCTCCAGCCCAGCGTTCGCAATCCCCGGCTTTTTTCAAGAGCCTGGACGTCCATCTGCTCGACGCTCGCCACTGCCTGCTCCTCGGCGACTTCAACTGCGTCGTCGATTCCCGGCGCGATGTCAGGGGCCCAGGCTACGGACGCACCACGTGGAATGCCGGCGAGCTGATACGCCTGATGCGACACTTCGACCTAGTGGACTGCTGGACTCTGCTCCATGGCACCGCTTTCGAGCATACCTGGCAACGAGGAAACTCGAGCAGTCGCCTGGACAGGTGTTACATCTCCGAGTTTCTGAGCCCCTCTGTCACCGCCTGCTGCGCAATGAACTTCCCTCCCTCCATTACGTACATCTCCGACCACCGTCCGGTACTCGTAGAGCTCCGCTTCAGCAGCAAAGCCAGTTCTCAACGCACCTGGCGTCTCGACACCCGACTGCTGCGAGACAAAACAAGCCGCGACTGCCTGAGAGAAGCCTTGCGCCGGTCCCTCCATGGAGCGGCACCAGACCCCTTGACCTTTGACCGGCTTCAAGACAGCTGGCGGGTGGCGTGCGTGGCGGAGGGTCGTGCACTGCGTCGGCGGCACGCCGAGCAGCTCCGAGACACCTCTCTGCGAATTCGGATCGTGCGACGGGGCGGCGCGGGGACTCCGCTAATGCGGGGCTACCTGCAGCAGCTCCTCGACCGTTACCAGCGACAGCTACGACTTTGTACCAACGCAGCCACAGCCTACCACGGACGGGTCGGGCCCTCGGCTCACCCCGAGGTGCTGCGCTACGCCCACCGCACCGAAGTGCGGGAGCGACGCGTCCCTTCAGTGCCGATAACCCCAGGCGCGCCAGCAACACCAGGCCAACCGTCGGTCTCCGGTTTCAGCGCCCACTTCCGGGCCCTGGCAACCACCGAATCGGCGGTGGACCGTGCGACCCTCGTGGCGCACCCCTTCCTACGCGATCTCCCGCAAGTTCCCGAAGACCTAGCCGCACACCTGCACGAGCCCCCCAACCCCGAAGAGGTGCTCCTTGCCCTGTCAAGAATGAAAACTGGGTCCGCGCCGGGCCCAGATGGGTTTCCCGCCGAATTCTACCGTACCTTCTGGGACGTGCTGGGCAACTATATCTGTGCCGTGCTCCGGGAATTTTTCACGGAGCACCGCCTTCCAGAGTCGTTCCGCCGAGGCAGAATCATTCTTCTGCCTAAGGAGGGAGGAGACCCCAACGACCCGGGCGTGTGGCGTCCCATCACGCTACTCAACGCAAGCTACAAGCTGCTAGCGTCGATCATCACGCAGCGCCTCCACGGCATACTCCCGGACGTGGTGACACCCCACCAGACGTGCTCGATCGTCGGCCGCAGCATTCAGACCCTGACATCCCTGACGAAGGACGTGGTGCAGTACACGAACGCTCGCCAAGCCAGAGGCCTGATCGCCTCCCTCGACCAAGCGAAGGCTTTCGACCGGGTGGAGCACCCGTTCCTCCTGGCCGTGCTCACCGCTTTCGGTATTCCCCCTGAAGGGGTTCGACTCTTCGAGACGCTCTACAGTGACATGAAGAGCGACCTCTGTCTAAACGGCGGTGTGACGGCCAGCTTCCCCGTCACCCGGGGGGTCCGCCAGGGCTGCCCGCTCTCGCCGCTGCTCTTCGTCCTTACCCTGGAGCCCTTCCTAGCCAACGTCGAAAGGACCCCCCAGGTCCGCGGACTCTCCCTGCCCGGAAACGGCGAGGTGAAGGTGTCGGCATACGCCGACGACATTACACTGTACCTGCGGGACACCGACGACCTCGGAGCGGCTCTCCGGATCTTCGAGACCTACGGGTCTCTCTCCGGAGCGAGGTTGAATGAGCAGAAGAGCGCAGTGCTGTGGGTTAACCGACCGCCTGACCCCTCTTCACCGATCCCGGCAAAAACTTCGGTCACGATCCTTGGTGTCACCTACCGCTCGTCAGGAATCTCGGCGGACATGTGGACGCGCCTGGCGCGCGACATCGGGGAGAAAGTGGACTCTGCTCGCACCTACGCCCTTCCCCTGGCCGAGCGCAGGTACCTAGCCTACTCTGTCTTCTGTGGACGCCTCTGGTATCTCGCGCAAACGGCGCTCCCGACCTCACGTTTCATCCGACCGGTGAAAAGCGCGCTCTACAGCTTCTTCTGGTCGGAGAAGACGGAGCTGGTCACTCGGCCGGTTGTCTGCCTCCCGCGCGAGCGTGGAGGGTGGGGCTTTCCCTGTGTCGACATCGCACCCGCAGTACTCCAACTCAAGACCATGCTGAAGATATTGCGCGATGAGCACGGCCCAGCCCGATCCCTCGCGCTCTACTTCGTGGGGCATTCCCGCCGAGAACTGGGAGTCGAGTCGCCGAGCTCACCCGGCCCCTGTGCCGAAACCCCGCCGTCTGACTACCGAAGGGCAATACAGCTCTTCAAACGTCTCAAAGAGCGGGCACCCCAGCTGGACGTAGTGGAGACACCGACGGCTCGTCTCACAGAGGTCCTCCTGGAGCCGCAGATTTCGGCAACGCAGGTGGAGCTCGGAGACTCTTTCTCCTGGTCCCGCCTCACTTCTTCGTATCTCCCGGGGCATCTACGGGACTTCGAATGGCAGCACGGTTGGGGCGTCCTCCCCAGCGGAGACCGCTTGCTCCGCTGGGGCGTGTCGCGCACGGACCAGTGCCCTAACTGTGGGAATCGCGAAACGAATGTGCACGCGGTGAAGGAGTGCGTTGTGGCGCGGACGTTCTGGCGCGTCATCCGCACCAGCTTCCGCGGTTTGGGCGTAGGACTTTACCTGCTGCGCGGGAGATGCCCTCCGGGCGTCTTCGTCCGTCTCCTCCTCGCCGCGGCCGAGTACGTGCTGTGGAGGAACCGGTGCTGCGAGGTGAGACAGGCGCGTCGATCGCGTGCTCTTTGGCCCCTCCTGGCTCCGGCGGGAGCTCGTGGGACACCTCGAGGAGCAACTGTTTTTCCTCGGAGAACAAGAGTTCCTCAGGCGCTGGTCCTGCCGGTACCTGAGCGTTCGCGACTCGCGGATTGAACTCCGCTTCAGGTACCTGGACAACCTCTAGGTCCCTGAGTTCAGAGCGGTGCCGTTGGGGGCGCGGGCGCGGGTGTGCGGCTCTGGGATGACGCTTCGGCCGCGTGAGCGATCGCGCGGACGGGGACACCTCGGGGTGTGCGCCTTCGAACTTGTGCGTGAGGCTCCGCGGCAAAGACCCGCCAACTGTACAGACACTGGTTCGCACATATATGTGTACACAGTGTTCTTAACCTCTGCGCGTCTCTTACAAAATCCTGTCCACAGTGTTGCAAATAAATTTTCTAATTAGGCCTATCGCCTTGCGAGGTTTGGTTCGTCTGTATGTTAGTTTCCGTTTGTGTGCGGCTAGCAGGTAGGGAAGGCAATGGCGCTACTTTCCCAGGATCCAGTGACTTTAGTGTGCTCTAGCCTGCTCGGCCATCGATCCCCCAACAGCACAAAATAGTTTGCGCCGAGTACGCGACTGTTTCGTCGCATTCTTTTAAAGAGTCCCATCCCACACTAAACGAACTACCAGACAACGGCTCAGAAATTTCCTCGCGAACCAGCGAAAAAAGCATAGTTTTGTTTTTGTGCACCCGGAACAAAAATCACAAAGCAAGTTGTTGGTTTTAATGAACCGGAATATCAATTGCGCGTTGCGATCTGACCAGCATCACCTCATTATACGGGCCTTATTGGCTGCTTCTACAAAAGGGTCAGCATGCATGGGTTGCAAAGCAGTAGGTTGGCTCATCGGCTCATGCGATAGGCGATCAAGTATTCGCAGCACCTGCCGATCAAAACAAGAAGCCGTAGGAGCAGGAGCACGAACGTGTACACGCCAATCTCGGACGCCAAGAGCGGGTTCGAAAACAGGCGTGCTGAGAATCTTACGTAACAGCTATAATTATATTCAGCAAAAATAAATTGATGGTGAAGGCCAATTTATACAAACCCTATGGGTGATTATCTATGAATGCGATAGCATTTATCGTTGTACACACGGAGAGGTGTTTGGTTCCCCGCTAAATTTAGCGGGGAACCTAAATTAATGCATAGGCCACGTGAAGTCAAATTCTGCTACATTTAGCGGAGAACCTGAATGGATATTGAGGTCACGTGAAACCAAATTTCCGTTAAATTTAGAAAACCAATTTACTACATTAGAGTCGACATTAGTACGCAAACATCTGTAATGTGTAGCTCAATAATGCAATCGCATCAAAAAAGAACAGTCCCCATGTGTGGCGTCATAGCGTAGGGATGAAACGACCCAAGTACGTTGCTTCTGAGGTGTGCCACCGTCCTGCTATTTTGATGCCACGGACGCGTCGCCCGTACTGGCGCTCAGTCACACTTTCTTTACTTCTGTATTTTCCTTCTACAATATTGGCTCGTCTTGATTAGCTGGTACATAAAAAAAAGAGAAAAGCAGTTTGCCCTATATCATAGAGGATTACTTTGTGGTACCGTCATTCTTTGAAAGCAAGCAGGAAAGAAAACTATAGACCATATATCGTGTAAATTTCTCATCATTTTTTTTCTGGGGGGGGGGGGGATTGGTGGCCGAGTGGTCTAGCGCACATTATCAGCTCGGAGCACGTGGAGCGAAAGCTTCCACGTGCTCCGAGTTGATGTGACATGTTGACGTAGGTGTCAACACGTCTGGACTTCGCCATTGCATCTCAGTCAAGTTTTATGCTGTCTTTTTCTCACCGCATTTGTGAACTGCATCCCGCCGTCTTCCAAGAGGAGTCGCGTCTTGAGCAAAGGTTTCTGCAACAAAAGCAAACGTCACAACTCTTTCTTGTTAACACCTCCTATTGTTCTCCGGAGTAATTTGTTGTGCTTCTTGAGACTCTGGCGTACAATGTAAAAAAAAAAAAAACTGAGCAGTCACTTTTCCAGAATATGAAGCATTGCTACAGTGACAGGTACATTCGAGCAGTCGAGTGATCAAGTAGGCGGTCAAAAGTGATCAGAACACAGATGAGGAACTTTGGTTTGCGGTGGAAATAGTTCTCTTAAAAAACTTTCCCCCACGTGTGTCTGCGTGCTTTTTTTTGTCTCATTTGGAGAGGGGGGGGGGGGGGGGGGGGCAACGTCAGAAGTTTTTTTTTTTTTTAATTTTTGAGCCCTGGCTTATCAGAGGTAGCTGATTTCCTCCGTCATGCTGACTTTTCTTTTTCTCAATGCTGTTTAGGATATTTTATTCTCGTGACGTATGAACCGCTCGTATCCAGGTGCGCGAAAATTGCTACTCTATAGGACACTTAGGCAACGAATGGGGTTGGGAGCCTGTAGTGTTTTCATCGTTCATTAAAAAATGCACGCTAATGAACTGGTCGTCATGCTGAATGATGTGTTTGAACGCAAACTTATGAACTGTATTCGAAAAAAGTTTTGTCGAACCTATTTTCTCCTTTTCTTTTCATTAATTAAACTAAAGCTTTCTACATATCATGTAGTTCTTTTTTTCTTTTTTGTTCAGTTTCTGTTCAATTTCAAAATCTGAGTGCCGAAAAAAAATAATATAAAAATACACTTGTGAAAATAAGCCCCCGAAAAAATGATGAAGACATTTTTTTTTTTTTGTAATTAACGTGTTTTGAACATACTAGTAAAACAAAAAAAAAAAAATTAGTCGATTTGCCAAAACAATTGCAGTCGCGCTTTTTTGTATTTTTCTTGGCAAACGTTTTTTTTTATTTTTTTTCCAGGACTCTAATATTTAAGAACCAATAAGTTAGAAACGTTCTCTTCATCATACTTCAAGTTATTTGTCGAGTGATTGTTGCAGAACATTCCCCGACATTTTGTCGAAACTGCGTTCGAAAAAATGACGCCCAAACTGTATAATCCTCCCTTTTGACATTTCGACTCAACCATGGCTCCGCTATAGTTTACGTCCACATTTCATTATTACGGGGCGTCGCCGCAGGTGACACTTATTGGCATTATTTCATTGATCGCTGGAACTCCAATGTTTGTCTCCGAGGTATAAAAGTATCCGCATACACGAGGAGATTATTAAATGTCCATTGTCCACTAAAGAATAAAAATGTACTTCAGTGTCCCTTTATACAATGTGAACCAAGATAGCGATTTAAATAAGCTTCTTTTCCAACAGCCATTATTATTAATAGTATTTAAAGTGACAAAAGGTTATGTAATATGCTTATTTATTTATTTTATTTATACGTACTACTGTCCACGCCCCCACTTCCTTTGGCGGAGGTGGACGTGCCAGTGAACAAAATGTGCTTAAAAACACTATAATCGCTATCAGAATAAAGCAAACGTCCACAAATCACATCAAAAACAAGTAAGCCTTCAGAAGATCGGGCATCAGAGCCGTTCTGCGTTAATTGACTATCTGGGCGATTAAAACTAGTTTATATATTGCAAACTAAAAAGAGGAAAAAAAAATAATCTATCAATAAAGTCAGAAGTAGAGAATACGTCAGCATTACGAACTGTTTTACCTCATGTCTTTGAGATAAGTTATCAAGGAAGCAAAATTCGCCACTCGCTACTTTACTGTAGCGGATAATTGATGCGGGAAGCGTAGTTTAGGTGTGCCTTAAAGGTAATCTTCGTATTGTTTTCACAAGCATTTATTACGCATGCCTCTTGTTATAGATATCATCGCCTCTTGCCTGGTGCATATTTTTAACCTTGCCTTGTCACAAGGGACGTTTCCAAGTAGAATGAAATTAGCTAAAATATCAGTCATATTTAAAGGAGGAGATAAAAATCTACCGACAAACTATAGGCCTATCTCTATACTTCCTATATTTTCCAAAGGGCTTGAAACAATTATTTTGAAAACGCCTCGATTCTTTCTTTGCTAAACATACTGTGATTTCGGATTTTCAATATGGCTTTCGCAAAGGAAAGTCAACTGAGTCTGCATTGCTTCAACAAAAAGAAATTATTTTGAAAATTATAGAAAATCGCCTGTTTACATTTATACATTTTAGTGAGGCGTTTGATTTCATAAACCATAAAATACTACTTGATAAGCTATACTGTTATGGAATACGTGGTGTAACTCTGTCCCTTTTACATTCCTATTTGAAGCACCGTAAGCAATGTGTTGTGATCGATGGTCATGCATCGCCTTTTCTTAACATACGATGTAGGGTTCCCCAGGGTAGTATACTTGGGCCAATGTTATTTAATGTGTATATTAATGATATTGTAAATATAAACAAACAAATAAAATACATAATATACGCTGATGATACCAGCCTATTTCTCGCCGAAACGAGTGTTGAAAAATTAATCGTAGACGCAAATGATGTTCTTAGCAAGTTCCTTATATGGTCCAACAACAATGACCTTAAAATTAACATTCAGAAAACGAAAGCTATAGTTTTTCGACCAAAGAGCAGGGCTCTGCCAATTAATCATAATATTACAATAGGCAGCGTACCAATCGAGTTAGTGAAACAACATAAAACGCTTGGAATAATTTTTTCTGAACACCTTTTGTGGAATGATCATGTCAGTTATCTTGTTACGAAGCTGTCTAGGGTGGTTGGAGTTATGTCACACTGCCGCAATATTTTCCCAGTTAACGTGAAATTACAAATCTATTATTCCCTATTTCAGTCTTACATTAATTAATGCCATCTTGTTTGGGGGACAACTACACAAACAAACATGGAAAAACTTACTTTACTTCAAAAAAAGATGCTTCGTTATATTGCCAAGGAGCACTATCTCGCTCACACCAAACCTTTGTTTGCCGAATATAAAATAATTAGTCTTGATAAGATGTATGACTATAGATTACTGCACAGCTTTCGTTTTTTATCTCCTGAGCATGCTTCGCTTTTATGCAAGATGTCGGAGCTCTCCGAACATCCTCGTAGTTTCAACACCCGTCTTTTCGAAAAATGGATAGTACCCACGAGCTCGTACTAACTATACTTACCAGTCAATTGCATATCGTCTACCTTTATTACTTAATCATCTTCTTAATAATAATACTGATATATATTAAATGGGAAGGAAATCATTACTTATGCATTTCTTGTGAATTGTTCCGTGAAATGTCTTGAGCATACCCATACCTCTGTATGAATTTTGCATTTTATACAGTGCTGTTAGAAGTTATGCGTTTGTGCGGCTTGTGTTGTTTTGCGTAATTTTCGTCTATATGTAGCTGCATATCTTTTCAATCTGTCACAAGTTCTGCGAAATTTTTTTCTTTTTGTATAATGCTGTTAGAATTTGTATGCATGAAGTAATTACTCAGCGTATCTTTGCATGTAATATCCTTTTGTGTTCTGAATGGATGTCCTGCTGACAAATTTGAGACGGGCCCCAGACCTCGTCAAGCTGCCACTGGCAGCTTTTTGTCTAGGGTCTCCGTTGGCTTAAAAGCCATAAATAAAACAATTGATTGATTGATTGATTGATTGATTGTGACCTTCGCTTTGCTAAAATCTGCTTAAGATGGGTGATCTAGTTTGTAACCGTCAAATAAAACAAAATTCAATCGATATTTTTCTTCTTTTTTTTGTGGGCGTTTAAGGACGTTGCAGGGCAGCTTGGATGTTTTGAAGCAAGAGTCACAGTGAAATTTTACCGGACTGGAGACACTTAAGAAAAAGGGAAACATCGCAACAAACAGTTGCGTGACCGCAACAGGAAAAATCGGCAGTATGTCAACCGACGTTTCACATCTTTCTTTTATAGTTGCTGTTTATCGCAATACACCAACTCATACGATTGACTTCTTTTTACTCCCATGCCGTAGTTAATTTAAAAGGAAATATTATATTACGTATAACTTTTTAGGCAGCATTGCTCAGCAGCTGCCAGAAGCGTAATTTGTCAAAACACTGTGCGGTGTTGTTTGAGGTCTTTCAGGTGTTTCAGGCAGCCGCAAGACAGAAACATTTTTTCCCCTCCCATTAGAATGGTTAAGGACACTTTAAGATAATTCTGACAGCCCGATGTATTGAATATGTACAAGAAAGACGTGTGAGATAGCGTCACACGAAAATACTATCCAAAAGCAAAAAAGAAAGAAAAAGATTGAAGGGTGCCTTACCATTCCACCGAGCTCTTCATCCAGATCGTCGGCGAGTATGAAAACTATGTTCGGTTTGCCGTCTGGTTGGGCATTACTCCAAGGCACGGATGAGAAACGAACAGTCAGTAAGACAGCGAACAGGTGCAGAATCTCCATGCTTCAAAGTCTTGATCCAAACACAACCTTCGTCCCTGCTACTGGACCGAATGATGTTGGCGCCGATCTAAGCGGCAACGGCAGAAATGGCGATAAGCTTCTCCGGTGGAACACACAAAGCGTACGAGGCTCCGGTGAGCTGCTATCTCGATAAGATACCCAAAGAGGTTGATGCGTCCGAAGCGATACGTTGGGGCAGACCGAACGAAACATGAAACTGCGTCGCCTGAACACAATGCAAATTGTCTGTTACTTTCGGATTGAGGTAGGATAGGCTCTCAAAGGATTCACAGTTTTTGTGCTACAGAGAGAGATTCTCAGTGCGAAGTTCATGCAATGACGTTATGTTTAAGTACTAATGGACGCTACTCAAGGGTTCATCAACGACCCATAACGCCAGTACGTCTGTCCGAAGAACCCCCTTCAACCTTCGCCAAACCTCGGGGACTCAAACTCCCGTCGCACGTGATGACTATAAGACTATCTTGTCCTTATCTCAGGCACGAAGCCAGTGGGGTGGCCCATGGAACCCGCCCCCCCCCCCCCCCCCCCCAAAATCTTTCAATTTCTTGGGGCCTCCTCTCCTCCGTCCCCGTCTTACAACATTTTGTCATAAGCGGCCTACCCTCTCCTTCCCCCCTTCCCCCCGAAACAAAATCTTGGCCACGTGCCTGCCTTAGCTTCTAGGTATACTATGCAAAAAAGGCTATTTCCTTTTCTGTGCCGCGGCCCTCCTGGGCCTAAAAGATAACCATATTTATTAATTCACTTTGCAATATGGACAAAGCGAATTGGACTACTATATTATTGTGATCAATTCATCCGGTACAGACTTGGGAAGTAATCCGTTATAAGCAACGGATTACTTGTAATTCGTTACTTTTTCATGTAATTTTGTAATTGCCACGTTACTTCTTTCCGGAAGTAATTTGTAATGTAATTTCGTTACAAAATATTGGTAACGGATTACTTTAATTACTCGCTACTTTTTAAAAATATGAGCATAATACTGTAACTAGAGCAATACGAGCAGAACCTTCAGCAGCATAAAGAGAGCAAGTTCAACAAAATATAAAACATCAGGAAGGGTTGAATAGCCGAAAAGAAAACACGATGTTTTGAACAACCGGTCACTCGAACCACTAGAAAAACGGGCATGGCATGCACAAAAATACGGAAGACAAAGAGCAAGTAAAACAACGCCGAGTAGGCTCTTCGTCGCCTTCCATCCTGTTCTTCTTCTCCCGGGCAGGAGAAAGCACATCGCGTTTGTTTGTCTTTGTCTTTTACACCGTTTCACCCTATCCAACTTCTTCGACGTCTTCCGCCGCCTGCACAGACATCAAACGCGGGTCCGTACCCCGTCGATTTGCGGGTTCACAACTCGCGTAACCGACGATGCAGCCTCGCGCGAGGGCGTCGAATTCTCTCCGTCTTTGATGTGCGCCACTGTATTCTAGCACGCTCTTGAGGAACGGCTGAAAAGCGCCCGGCGCGAGGCTAAGAGCACCGTCTTCGAAGGTACGGACGATACCTCTTTTGGTTCACTTGTCTGGGCATGGTGGTCCACTCCACTTCTCACTTTACGGGCAACTGTCAACACAAAGGGGAGGCGGGGGGGGGGGGGGGGGGTTAGGCAAACTGAGGAGTGATTACAGAGAGAGAGAGAACGCGTAAAAGTGGTGTGATCCTCTATTGTTTTGTAAGACCGATGGCCACTACTTCTCTCACTCTCTATGCCTTCCCATTCCCCTGGCCTGCACGAACATTGGCATGAAACTGAGAACCGATGAACCATCATTAACCCGAAACCACCACTTTTTCACTGACTGGTCGAGTTTTCGGTTATGGAGTGTCCGTCTTCTCCATGGCCATCTCTTAGTGAGATGTTCAAAATTCAGGGCATTAAGGAGAACGGAAACCTAGAGTTTCAGTGGATACTTTGCTCGCCAAACAAACACATTTTGTAATCGGCAAGAACACCAAACTCTAATCTACGGAAACACACCAAGGTAAGGGGGACACCTGCATTCTGCATTCGCTATACACTGTAATGTTAGAAGCAAGTTTCTCTTTTC